TAAAGGGTGGAATTGCTGTCTCTCCTAGAGCGATGTGTCTTTATTGGCATATTTTAGGAAATTGAAACTTAAACTTTTGCAATATCACAGACGCTTAGGGCAAGTAGTGGGCTGCGCTGTATGTGTGAGAGATAGAGAAAGAAAGTGTTGGACCATGTAATGAGCAATGAAGTCTCTGTCTCTCTCTCTAGGTGTATTATTTATATATTTATCTCAGCCGGTAATGTTATTTATATCAGAGACCCCCACAAAGCTCAGATTAATGTTATCTTTACATTACGATTAAGGGCAAACTATTTAAATTTGAAAGACATTGAGAAGAAAGAGAAAGAGGCATGTGAGAACCACAACCAGGGATACTGGAAGTCAGTCAGACCGGAGGTGCTGATAATACTCATACATCATACTTAGTGCTAGTCGACATTCATTGAGACACTCAGGAGATAGAGTGGGTCATCCAGTGATCACAGGGTTGGCGATTCGACCCCCACTTCCTCCTGTCCACATGTGGAAATGTCCTTGGGCGAGACACTGAACTCCAAACTGGATGGATGAGTGGCAAAAACCTTTTAAACAGGTGGTATTATGCTCATTTTCAGGTTCAAAATCTTAATTAGGGGTTGTACCAGAACAGGTTTACATGGTTTAATTTTCAAAAAACACCATATTTTTCTCATACTGCACATTGCTGCAGTTCCTCTTTTCACCCTGTGTGTTGTACGCTCCGCTCTTGAGCTACACTGATGCATCTTACTTGTACAAAATCTTTGTTGGGAGTTGCATATGTGCAGTTCCCAGGTAAGGACCACTAGCCACTCAGAAGCAGAGAAGGGCGGGTCGTAATAAACAAGGTAGTGTGATCCAAATCAAAGCCGCTTCAGACTGCAACCGTAACCTAGCTGATGGTATAAGTTAATCTCAAGTCCACAACCACACAACATCATTGTTCCACGTCTTACCATAAACCACTACAAAAATCACCATATATAACTCAATTTTACCTAAAAATTGGCAAAACAATTTCATTACAACATATTCATTTGCTTTCAAATTGTTGTTAAATTGAGTGAAGATTGTTAAGTTGTCTATAGAACATAGAAACGATATAAATTCAGGTATATGTAGGTACGATGCAAATTAGCAACAAAAGGCATAAACGAGAAACCAGGGCTTGCAAAAGGTTCCCAGGTACGTATCGAATATGCACAAACAGGCATTGGGGGAATCCATGTGCTATCTTGGCTTGCAGTCTGCAAGGAAGAGGTATGATGCAAATTTGCGATAATCGGCGTCAACTGGTTAAACAAAATTCACAACCAATAAAGCATACTTACAGGTTGTGATTGTGAATTTCCAGGCCCAAACAGAGTCGGAGTTGCATCGTCTTATAGGACTAAACGTTGAACTCTTGCCGGTGTTCTGATGATCTATGCTACCTTGCTGAAAAATGCTACCATAGTGCAAATCGATAGACTCGACTCTACTGGGCCCTGCTCCGTTTTCCATTGCAGATAGTACCCAGATATAGTACGTAGCTTGTCATCATCGCAACGCTACACACAACTGCCGTGACGTAATGTTCAATGCGACACACACAAAAAAGTTTACAATATTTGGTGCTGAGAATAACCAAGTGCCAGTACTTACTGAGGCTGCAGAGAAGTAAAGCTGTTACCTAAGTGACATAAGTATAGAGGTTGACACATCATACATGCTTCTCACTGCCCTATGCATCGCCAAGAAAATCATCCTCATGAACTGGAAGGCCAAAAAGAATATATCACCCAATATAGCAATCTCCTTATAGACCACATTAGCATGGAGAGAATGTCTGCTTTAAAAAAAAACAAAGTGAGTGCCTGCCACGATGGCCCAGTGGGGCTCTGGGTGCACCGGTATGCCTGCCGAATGTGTGGGGGAGGTGACTTGAGGTGGCATGGGGGGCCCTTGCAAGGGGAGGTGTGGGTTTGTGTGCTTCGGGTTGGGGCTGCACCATTCTCCCCCACTGGCCGCCCCTCAATCTTAATCACACATTAGACACAAAGGGCTTGGGGGGTGGGAGGGGCACGTTGGGAGGAGTTGGGGTCTGGACCGGCCTCTGGTTGACAGGGTCGGGGGCCGCTGGCTCTGGGGTGACGGCCTCCGGCCGGACTGGGCTGGGGCACTGTCGGCCCTGGTTCTCCTGGCACGTTTCTCTGCTGTTCTCCATTGGGGCGGGGCGTGACTGTCCCCAAGACATCTGGTCCTTGCGCTTTAGGGTGTGCCCTGGCTACTGGCGTTCTTGCTTGCCTGTTGCTGGGGTTGGTGTGGCGCGGTTGTGGCATCTCACTCTCACTAACGACGACATTCTGTCACAGGCTTATGCACACATATACACACACGCACTCAGACACACACGCACACACACACACACACACACAAGGTCCATGGTTGGTAGAACTATTCTTTCTAAACTATTCTTTCCTGATCTTCTTCTACGCAGAAGATCACGAAGGCTCCTGGCCCTGACGGTGTGTCTCCATCCTTTAGTCATGCAGTCCTTTGAAAGACTGGTGTTTCACCTGAAGGACATGACAGGCCCCTTGCCGGACCCCCTGCAGTTTGCCTACAGGGCTAACAGGGCGGTGGATGATGCATACAACTTGGGACTGCATTACATCCTGCAACACCTCGACTCTCCAGGGACATATGCAAGGATCCTGTTCGTGGACTTCAGCTCGGCGTTCAACACCATCATCCTGGACATCCTCAGCACCAAACTCACCCAGCTCACTGTGCCAGCCTCACCGTACTCAACAGCCCTGTGTCTGCTGTGGAAACCTTCAGGTTTCTGGGTTCCACTATATCCCAGGACCTGAAGTGGAAGCCCAACACGGACACCATCATCAAGAAGGCCCAGCAGAGGATGTACTTCCTGTGTCAGCTCAGGAAGCTCAACCTGCCTAAGGAGCCAGTTCTACACAGCCATTATCCAGTCTGTCCTCTGAACCTCCATCACTGTCTGGTTTGGATCTGTCACCAAAAAGGACAGGAGCAGACTACAATGGACAGTTAGGACTGCAGAAAAAATAATCACTCATCATCACCTTATCATCACTCAGGAAGGTTTGTGGGACGTGGGGGTAGAGATGGTAGACACCTACAAGTTCCTGGGGATGCAACTCAACAACAAGCGGCCCCTCCCAACTTGGGATTTTTTTCTGAAATCTGATTGTCTCAACGGCACCATCAAATGAGTTTACTTTCCATCTGGGAGTTGAATCTCAATAGCCTAGGTTTGTGTGACAAGCACAACAGAGCAGGTAAATATGTCAAAAAGAAAGAAAGAGGAGGACAAAATGTGTGGTGCCGAAAAAATAAGAATTAAGTAGAAAACAATGTTGGCTCCGGAGGCAGCTAAATGCGCCGAATTAATCGACCTATATATATATATATATATATATATATATATATATATATATTATAAACAACAGTTGAAGGAAGAGGCAGAGGAACAGGAGGAGCTGCAGGAGAAGGACGAGGAAGAGAAGCAGCAGTATGAGGAGGAGGAGAAGCAGGAGGACAAGGAAAATGAACCAGAGGTACAGTGTCAGTGTGCAGGGCTGGGTAGGCAATCATATTATGCATAGATAGAATTAGAAAATGGATTATGGTTAGTAAAATTTATTACTGATGTTCTTCTCGTGCATATGTAGCTGTACAATCAGTAACAGCAGAGTCAGGTTCCAGCACAGGGGAAGCTGAGCCAGAGATAGGCTTACTAAGAGCTGAAGCTGAGGGATTTGATTTTTATGCATTTACACACATACTGCTCTATTTTATGGGACTGCATTGTAGTTTTTGATTATATTGAACTATTTTAGCATTCTGCCTGACCTGGTCTTGTTCAGTGCAGTGGTGTCTTGCTTATATAAACTCTCTGTCTCAATGTCCCGGGCTGGATTTTCAGTGAACTGGCTGCTACGGATGTTCTACCAGTCTGTAGTGGCCAGTGTCATCGTCTTTGCTGTAGTGTGCTGGAGAGGTGGCATTGGGACATATAGCGCCAACAAACTGGGCAAGCTAGTGAGGAAGGCTAGCTCAGTGGTGGGGAATCCTGTCTCTTTAAGGTAACAAAGTGTGGAGATACATCTGTGCAAGACTAGGCCTCACTGGTTACATTACAAAAACACAACTTCATTGATTTTGGTGAAACTGGATCATATTTAATGGAGAAAATATTTTCCGGTTTTCCAACTGATGTCCTCTGGCTGTTCTGCCTCAACTTTCGGTTCCTGATGGACAAATAGCTTTACTTGTTAGCAGTTACTTTAGCCCCAAACCACTGCTGGTGTTGTGTAGGACTATGGGACTAAGTGTGGTGTATTCAGTACGTGTTCAGTGTGTGGGGCTGTCTATGCCGTCTATGCTGCAAAGATTCCTCCATGACATCAAGAATGGAGACAAAGCAGGAGAAAAAATGAGCTTATGATCATATTGAAAAGACATGCAAAAGTGCGTTTTAAGGGACTTCTAAGAGAGCAGTATTCTCGGTCTGTGAGAATAGCAATGCCTTTGTTGTTTGTGCTCATGGCTGAAGTCTTCTTGTTGTGGAGACTTTATATTTGACTCATACAGACAATGTTTGTCACCACAGGGGGCCGGTGTATTCTATAGTTTTTCTCCCCCTCACTATTTCTCAGAAAAGCCTAAATACAGCAGCTACTTTAATTGTGTCATTAGCTAGTTTTCCCCTCAGTTATTTTCAGTTCACATTGTGCCGTCTCTTCCTGCCATATAAGTGGCATGTACCTCACTCACTCCTCCCCCAACAGACTTACCCTATAAGTAAGTGTCTCAGCCATCAGTGTCCTTTCTGAAAAGCTCTTTCATGTTCTTTTTCCTCTCAGACTAACAGCAGACAAAGTAATGAGGACAGATTCTTTGACAGAGATAGAGCCAAAAAACACAAGCTAGGAAAAATAGAATCATTTAACATTTATTATTTGCCAGTGACTTCTTCCACTTAGTACCCAAACACGAAATCAACAGCAGATTAATATCATAAAGCATCAGTTCCACTCTGAGCTGGCTGCAGTTCCAGTAGCTTTCTGAGTCTATCTGGTGGCAGCATACACAACATTTGGCTCCAGTTCTCTCTCAGATGCAGGCCTGCGGTTTCTTTTTGCTTTTGGCTGGAAGCTTAAAGCTGCGTAGTTCAGTTCATCTGAGCCCAGATTCTGTAAAACAGAGTATTTCACATAGTCACATACTGTATCACACATGCTGCAGCTGAGTTGCCAAAAATCCATACAATTGGCAGATTTGTGGGTTCTACCAAAAAGGGATCATTTAAACTAATATGAGTGTTAAACATAGTATAGCTTGGTCTAATTTAAATGGTAAAACACTGTTTTTGATATAATCCCTGTTTTCATAATTTACATTAAACCTAAGAAAAACTGTTGATTTAAACCAAGGTTGTATATACAATAGGATGTATGTCAGAGTGTATGACGAAAACCCATTAACAAAACTAAAATTGTTCCACCTTGCAGTGGTTTTATTTGAACTTTAAAATAACAATGTTGCAACTATTTGTTGTTTGCTACTGTACTACAAGCAAGTATATGCAATTGCATAGCAGATAGGCTCAATTGTCTCTTTCTTGACAATTCATCCTCTGGTGATGAAGCATTTCGGTGTTTCAGAGGGACGAAAAACAAAATCACCTTTGTGAAGACGGGAAAAAGTGTGTACAACTCTTGCATTCTCGCAACTATTTTTTACTTGAGGTTAAATATAACTATTATGCTGCCTGCCTAAATTTCCTCTTTGAAGCCGCCTGCAACTGCTTGGAACATCATTAACAGACTTATGTGTTTAAATGCAACTTTAAAACCACAGTTTATATAAATTAATTGTGAGTTCACCTTGTTTTCCTTTGGCTGCGGTTCTTCATTCAGAGCTAAATGGCAGAAGACAAATGTCTGATTAGCTAATTATTAGTGACCAAATACTTTGCTTTTACCATTTACAACAAATTATAAATCTACTGTACCTGTCTGAAGTTTTCTGATTTTAACAGCCAGAACAATTATGACTATAGTGAAGAAAACAGCCAGACCAGCCAGGATCTCACACATTAGGTTTGTCATTCCACCAGGCTCCTCTACAAGAACATTTATATAAATAAATTCTGTTATTAATCTGGTAGTTTTAGACATGATTAAGATTGAAATTACTGGCTGTATGGTAACTTGCACGATGAAAAAAATCTTGTGAGCAAAGGAAAACCTTACTTTCAGTCTTAAAAGCCACTTTATCATCAGATTCACCATTAATTTCACCTTTAAAAAATAAGGAGGTTAAATCATTTGATACATATTTATTGTTTGTTGTTTGTTATTATTATTATATTTTTACTGTGACATAACATGAGACATACTATAAACATGATGAGAAAAAGAGTTATCTGAAAGAGGTAAGGCTTGACTGCAATCTTACCTTTAATGCTTAAGTGTGTTGCACTGGCAATGACTGTATGTTTGTCCATGTAAAATCCACAGAAATACAGTCCAGAGTCAGATAAATCCACTTGTTTGATTTTAAGAAAGACAGTAGAAATGTTGGAGCTCATTTCAAAGTTTTGATTTTGAAATCCGTGACAGAATGAAACTTTGCCATCAGACTCATACATGGAGGAGATACAGCTGGGCTTGGTTCTGTTGATCAGTCTGAACCAGTCTGTCTGAGTTGGAGTTCTGGAAATGTTGGAGCACAGCAGAGTGACTTCTTCTCCACGCTGGACCTCCACAGTCTGAGACTCAGAAACTGAGACAGAGATCCAGCCTGAAACAAACAGCAGAGACAACAAGAGATTTATCCCTGAGCGTATAATGCAGCAGATACTGTAATAAGGCAACAACAACTATTAATTCAGTTCCAGTTTACAAGTTTGAATTCTGATGGTTTTATTATTTTGTGCTGAGAATAACCAAGTGTCAGTACTTACTGAGGCTGCAGAGAAGTAAAGCTGTTATCAAGGTAAAGCTCCTCATTGTGCATTTAATCGTGTCACTGCAAGATAAGTCTGTACTACTGAGCTCTTATAAAGGGTATTAGAGAGGCGGGGCGTCTTTTGTTTTTCATCTTTCCGCTAACACTGACCTGCCAATGCAATGTAATGCCTTTGCATGTATTTAAACCTGATGTAATTTCCAACAACATAAACTCTGAAATATGACTTTTGATACTAAAAACTCAAAATCTTATCAAATTGGAGTCTTCTTGTTGATGCTCAAATGTGTCTTGTTGACCCACAACGTAAAGCTTTTTCAAATTTCTGTCTGTTAAAGGCCATTCAGTTGCTTTTCCATTTACTTGAAAAATCAGTTGTGGTTGCATGTACCTGTTGTATTAAGTGGAGTAGGTTTTGAGACGATCACTGCTCAGGGCATCTCCCGTACAGACAACCAGACCAGCCCGACCAAGCCTCACCTTGCTCCTCGCTAGGCAGGTCTGGTCGCAGGAATATATAAAATATTGCTCAGGCTAACTCAGCAACTGGAAATCAGAGAGTGATGTGCCGTCATTTTTTCTGAGACCTGGTTCCCCAGCTCTGGCAGAACACGAGACTCCGTAAAGACCAGAGGAGGCACTCTATGTGTTTACATCAGTGGTGCTCAAATCTAGTCAAACCAGATGGCCATTGGGTTACCTGTGGAATTTTTATTGTTAAGATGTTAGCCATATTATCAGTTGTTTACATTCCTCCAAGTACATATTACAAAAAATACTATAGGACTGTATGAGGTCCTCAGCAGTCACAAGACACAACAACTGGATGGTGTTTTTATTGTAGCTGGTGATTGTAAGCACACAGATCCTAGAATTGTTTTACCTAAATTCATGTCCACATCCCCACCAGGGCACTGTACCATGAAGCAAATTCAACATACCCAGGATATCTTTTCATTATCTGCCGTCTCTAACCCTAACAATTGTGATTAGGCTCTGCGGTCACACCTCTACCCCTGTAAGTAATTGAACCACATTGTGGTACAGGCCCCAGGGGAACACATACCCTGGATCATAAACACAAACATTTCTGGCAGCTACAAAACCCAATTTTGGTCTATCATACCATATATGTCTGTTTCTTCTGCCTACTTAACACCCAGCTGATGAAAAGGGTCAGACCAACAGTAAAAACAGTCTAAGTGTGGACAGATGAGGCTACAGCAGCCCTACAGGACTGTTTTGAGTGCACAGATTGGAATATATTCAGCGAGGACGCCACCCAGCGGAATCATCAGTGACATATTACAGCAAATGTGTTGATACCAGTTTGTGATTCTTTGAGATTGAAAGAGTGTTTTTCAAAGCCCTTCATCAGAATGGGGGTGAATGCCACAGCGCAATGGTGGCTGTCTTGAAACAGGAGCGAACAATCTCCTCTGACAGTTATACATTAAAATTTGTAATAACATCAACTAGCTGATTGGCACATATTTTTAGTTCACGGCCAGGAATGTTATCAGGCAGCTTCACCCACATTATTCTCAGCAGGACTCTCCTCACATCAGCTTTGGATACTGATGGTGGCTGCTCTTCTGTAGGTCATGTAGACTTTACAGCTGACTCTTTGTTGAGGGACCGAAACGAGCATAAAAGGTGGAAAGCCCATATGGTAATGTGGCCTCACACATGAAGCTTCCGCTTTTGTATCCTGTGATGTTTTTGATCGCCTGCCACATGTCTTTGGTGTTGTTCATTTTGAGGTCTCAGCCTACTCTCTGCTGATGTCTCCGCTTTGCCCTCCTTGATACCAGCTTTCAGTCTAGCTCTGGTGGTGCTATTTCAACATATTCTCACTGTCAATTCGTCACATATGGACTCATGTTCAAGACCCACTGGCCTCAGTTTGTAACGCACTGGGAAAGCCCTGTAGTGTCAGTTTTGCATGCTAAAGGTAGGTGTAGGATATTTAACATTAAAGTCTAAGTGAGGAATTGGTTGGGGTGGACAGTGGGCCAGAAATCAGACTTTCAGCCAGGAGACCGGTTGTTACTAACTTCCAGTGGAAAGTCCAGGGGAGGAGGAGGTTAGTGAAAATAATAAAACCATTCCAGGTTGAGGGAAGCAAGCAGACAGATTTATCGGTATAGGTTGGGTTTATTTACGATTTAAATTAACCAAGGTATTCTCAAAAAGGTGCCCAGTTTAAGTTACGGTTAGACAACACGCCAGCAAACTTAAAAGTTAGCTTACAAAAAAAATGAATGCCACCAAGGGGAAATTAATACAATAACAATTACCACCCTCCCTCGGCCGAAAAGAATAAACCCAAGCATGAGGATTGGACTTAATACATGCTACTACAGGGACTCCACGAACGCCACTGTAGTGTCACCACTACTGGCTCTGGATAGAGAACTCACCTCTACATTCATGCAAGCTTTCAGTTTGGGGAAGGATTGTATTGTCTTAGTGATCACCACATGTGCACGGCCCAGGACAGGAGGGCTCTGCATGGGGTGCAGATCACACTGCTTAGAAGATTTTTTGTGCGCATCTGGCATCAATGATATCGGTGAGGTGAGGTCCCTGCACAGAGCCCAAAGGATTCTAAAAGAAAGTATTTTCAATTCAATTCAATTTTTCAATTCAATTTTATTTATATAGCGCCAAATCACAACAACAGTTATCTCACAGCGCTTTTCATAAAAGAGCAGGTCTAGACCGTACTCTGTGATGATATTTACAGAAGCCCAACAGTTCCCACCAAGAGCAAGCACTAGGCGACAGAGGCAAGGAAAAACTTCCTTTTAAGAGGCAGAAACCTCGAGCAGAACCATGGCTCAGGGTGGGCGGCCATCTGCCTCGACCGGTTGGGGTGAGAGAGAGAGAGAGAGAAAGAGAGAGAGAAAGAGAGTGAAAGAGAGAGAGAGAGAGAAAGAGAGAGAGAGAGAGAGAGAGGGATGTAAGGGGAGAGAGAGGGGAGGGAGGCAGCCTACACAATATACACACAGAGGTACAGACAGCGAAGGTAATGTTGCTATAAACTAAATGGTACAGATATTTATAATAGTGTTAATGGTAACCATCGTAATGTTAATGATTATAATAACAATAAGACTAGCAACAATAGTCGTTGCAGTAGAGGGTGTCGAGCAGGAACACGGGGGCAGCAGGCGACCCGCAGCCACAGATCCAGACTCCACAGCTCCAGAGCCAGAAAACCTGCAGGAAGTGATAGGAGGAGAGAGGAGAGGGACGAGAAAGCACAAGACTACCAGAAAGGGGAGAAGTTGTGTTAGTAACATGCAATAATGGGATAAGGTTGCATACAGAGGGAGAGAAAGTAGAGGAGAGAGGAGCTCAGTGCATCATGGGAAATCCCCCGGCAGTCTAGGCCTATAGCAGCATAACTAAGGGATGGTTCAGGACTACCTGAGCCAGCCCTAACTATAAGCTTTATCAAAGAGGAAAGTCTTAAGCCTACTCTTAAATGTGGAGATGGTGTCTGCCTCCTGAACCCAAACTGGAACCTGGTTCCACAGGAGAGGAGCTTGATAGCTGAACGCTCTGGCTCCTAGTCTACTTTTGGAGACTCTAGGAACCACAAGTAACCCTGCATTCTGGGAGAGCAGTGCTCTGGTGGGGTAGTAAGGTACTATGAGCTCTTTAAGATAAGATGGTGCCTGACCATTAAGAGCTTTGTAGGTAAGAAGAATGATTTTAAATTCTATTCTGGATTTTACTGGAAGCCAATGCAAAGAAGCTAAAACAGGAGAAATGTGATCTCTTTTCCTGGTTCCTGTCAGAACACGTGCTGCAGCATTCTGGATCAGCTGAAGAGTCTTAATGGACTTTTTCGAGCAGCCTGATAATAAGGAATTGCAGTAATCCAGCCTAGAAGTAACAAATGCATGGACTAGTTTTTCTGCATCATTTTTAGACAGGATGTTCCTGATTTTCGCAATATTACGTAGGTGAAAAAAGGCGGTCCTTGAAATTTGCTTAATGTGGGACTTAAACGACATGTCCTGATCAAAGATAACTCCAAGATTCCTCACAGTGGTGCTGGAGGCCAAGGCGATGCCATCCAGGGAAACTATATCTTTAGATAATGCGTCACGGAGGTGCTTAGGCCCCAGAACAATAACTTCAGTTTTATCTGAGTTTAACATAAGAAAATTACAGCTCATCCAGGTTTTAACATCCTGAAGGCACATTTGAAGTTTAGCTAACTGATGAGTTTCATCTGGCTTGATCGATAGATATAACTGAGTATCATCTGCATAACAATGAAAGCTTATGGAATGTTTCCATAAGTACCCACCCCAACCACCGCCTGTTGAAGCCTTCTGGTGTTTGGCAAGAGTTACTGTTTCCACTGTCGTACCACAAGACTCCAGAGCAGCTTCTTCCCTCAGGCTGTTAGATGTAAATGAAGCGTGTGACTTAAACATCACTTGTGACAGCAAAGACGAAAAGTGGCAGCAGACGAAAACATCAGATATGTGTGGAATGATGAGGAGATGGTAAAATTCTCAAATGAATCCAAAAAACCATACTTGCTTGCTGCCTAGCCAACCAAATCACTTGCTTTGATATGCCTTCTCCAGTAGCTACAGCACCCAATACAATATGTTCCTAAAGCATCTATGAACGGAATTTTACAATGTAAAGAATATTGTGGCAATAACACATGAGCAGCCCATTGCTAAATGAGGTAGGGTAATCCTACATATATAGGGATATTTTGTCTCTCCTTATGTCATTCAAAACTCATTGGTTTCTGTATACATAACAACTGGCAGCCTTCTGAGTGAAAGCCAAGATCAGTTTCACAGGGTCCATTGGTCCTAGCTATACAATTAGAGAAAATCATTTCCATCAAAGGAATGGTCTCCTGGGTAACTGTACATTGCTTGGATGACTACTTTTGGTTAATGCAGCAAAATGCACAGTGGGTAACAGACTAGTTGTAACAAAGGTATAATTGGCAAATTCCAGTTGTGGAGACGTTTGACTCATAAAGATAATATGCATGTTATTTTTGTTCACTTTTAAAAAGTTTTAATATTGCAGTTAGTTAAATCCTGTTATAAGTAGGCTAGTTATCGCTGCTTCAATTATATACTTTCTTCAGAGTTTTGACGTGAGAGGCCTCACTATTTCACCTCAGCTGTTCTAAAACCACACTGTGCCGTCTCTTCCTGCCAAACACGTGAAGTTTATCTCACTCACTCCTCCCTCCACAGACCATCTCACTCTCACAAGTGTGACAGCCATCAGTGTCCTTTCTGACTTTTCGTTCATCACACATTAAGCATGCTCTGTCTCTCAGACTAAAGGCAGACAAAATAATTAAGAGAGACGCTGTGACCAAGAGAGAAACATGAGCGTGAAAATACAGGGGAAAATAATCCAAATTTATTTTTTGACAGTGACTCATTCCACTCACTATACGCACACACAAAAGCACAACAGTAGATTAATATCATAAAGCATCAATTCCACTCAGAGCTGCAGTTCCAGGTGCTTTCTGAGTCTATCTGGTGGCAGCATACACAACATTTGGCTCCAGCTCTCTCTGAGATGCAGGCCTGCGGGGTTTGTTCAGTTTTGCCTGGAAACTTAGAGCTGCATAGTTCAGGTCATCTGAGCCCAGATTCTGTAAATCACAGTAATTTCAAAATAAATTCCAACACAGAAAAACTCAAGGTTATTCAATAGCAAAATAATATAGGCCAGATTGTATGAGATAAGCTCATTGACAGAAATAAAACTGCTACACCTTTACAGTGGTTATATACATATGCATTAAATACACAGAAACGTCATTTCAGAGGGGGAAAAATAAAGGTTAAAGATAACTATTGTAGTGCCTGATCATTAACATACTTTTAATGTGTTTAAATGCATCTTTAAGGCCATAACACAGTTTTAATTGTGAGTTCACCTTGTTTTCCTCTGGCTGCAGTTCTTCATTCTCAGCTGAATGGCAGAAGACAAACTTCTCATTAGTTCATTATTACTGACCATATACTGTACCTTGTTTTGGATTTATCCATCATCAAATTATAAATCTACTGTACCTGTCTGAAGTTTCCTGATTTTAACAGCCAGAACAATGACGACTATAGTGAGGAAAACAGTCAGACCAACCAGGATCACACTCATTAGGTTTGTAATTCCATCCAGCTCCTCTACAAGAACAATTATATAAATAGATTCAATTTTAATTTGGTAGTTTTAGACATGATTACGATTGACAATACTGGCTCTATGGTTACTTGCAGAATCAAAAAAATCTTGATGTCACAGTTTGTATGGTGAGGCAGGTTGGTGGACCCAAACGCAGGACACTGAGCAGAGTTGGTACGGTACAAAAAGGTTTATTTAACATAAGGCGAGCACACTTACAGGGAGTGGCCGATAAACAAAAAATAGTACCGAGCAGACTAAACCAAAATGATGCAGAGAAAGAACTAGAAGCAAATACTACGACATGAACTAAGGCACAGGACTAGGAACAACATGGAACAAAAATGCAGACTCCCCAACAAGATACACAGACAGGACTGAAACCCAGACACAGAGGAACCAAAACCAAAACACAGAGAAGGCATGGCCAAAATAATATAATCCAGACAAACTCAGGACAGGGTCGTGACACTTGAGAGGCCTTTAATAAAGATCACTTCACAAGAAAATTTAGTATGAATAGAATTTGATTCTGTTTTATAATCTGATGGCTTTAGACATGGTTAAGACTGAAAATACTGACTCTATAGTAACTTGCACAATGAAACACATCTTAAGAGAGAAAAGAAGAACCTTACTTTTAGTCTTAAAATCCACTTCATCATCAGAGTCACCAATACCTTTTTTAGAGAAAGAGGGGGATAAACTCATCTGAGACATATTGGTTTCTTGTTGTCTTTATACAGTATTTATATTACTGTGACATTATTTTTTAGATATATGGTGAATCTAATGGAAAATTATATGTCTGAAAGAGGTAAGGCTTGACTACAATCTTACCTGGAACATTTAAATGTGTTGCACTGGCAATGACTGTATGTGTCTTCACGTAAAATCCACAGAAATACAGTCCAGAGTCAGATAAATCCACTTTTTTGATTTTAAGAAAGACAGTGGAGACATTGGAGCTCATTTCAAATCTTCCATTTTGAAATCCGTGACAGAATGAAGCATTCCCATCAGACTGGAACATGGAGGAGATACAGCTGGGTTTGGTTCTGTTGATCAGTCTGAACCAGTCTGTCTGAGTTGGAGTTCTGGAAATGTTGGAGCACAGCAGAGTGACTTCTTCACCAGACTGGACCTCCACAGTCTGAGACTCAGAAACTGAGTCAGAGATCCAGCCTGAAACAAACAGCAGAGATAACAAGAGTTATTCCTCAGCGGAGTATGACACAATAGTTCAACACTACTAATTTGCAAGTCAAAAAATAAAAGTGGGTGACTTGCTGAGATTGCTGCTCAGAATAATTCAATGCCAGTGCTTACTGAGGCTGCAGAGAAGTAAGGCTGTTATTAAGGTGAAGCTCTTCATTGTGTGCATTACCGTGTCACAGCAAAGGCACTTATATGGAATAGACACAGAAAAGGGGCTTTCATTGAAAAGGGGCGGGTATTAAATAGTTCATGCAATGAAGCTCAAATTACAAAGTCTCTGTACCTATTTGTACCGTTTATTTTCAGACGGCATAAGTAACAATTCTTACAGTTTGACATATAATGGAAGGTATCTTCACCTCATCTGTAACAGTCTGATAAGACAGATTGCATGTGATTTAAATGCATAAAACACATGCAAGTTTGTCATCTATATTTAAGTATGCAGTTGAACAAAATGTTTTTCCTTTCTGGGGCCAAGGTGCACAGAAAGCAAAACACGGAAAACACAATAATACAGACAAAACAGTTACCAAATAAGCAAGTCTCTGTTTAATGTAAAAAAAACAACAAAAAAAACCCCACATCGTAATTACTTATTTTTTAGATAATACAATGAAAAATTACCAGAGGAGCATGATGACAGCAGCAGAACTGACATTTCAGTGTTCATTTCAGTGACGCTGCTGCTGTGCTATCTTGGCAAGGGAGGTGATGTTGGAGGAGTTGGAGGACCATGTAAGGTTGTCGCTGATGCCCAAAAAAACTTGGTGCCACAGACTTTCACACAGTGGTGCAACTGATTTGCAGTGACAGGGGGGCAGTGTCACTGACAGCACTTTAAGTACCTATAGCTTCTTTTATCAGACCCAGAGAAGCCATTGTTCATGCACATGCATTCTCCATCTTCTTGTGTAATCAGCTGATATGATAATCTCCCTCTCTAATCAAGCTCACCATTTCAAGTGTTCCCCTCAGGGAGGCACTACAGATCTCTGACTCCCAAAATACTGTGTACACTGTGTATGTAATTAATGAAGTTGTGAACTTGGCTTTCCTGACATGACCTCAAACTGCAAACTATGTCAAGTATGACTCTTTAATACATTTTTGATCCATTATAGTGTAATTAATTTTTTTAATATTTGAAAAAAATTCCTAGAGTTGAGAAAAAACATTTAAAAATGTATGATGTCATCACAATGTAAAGTCTATCGCCTGTTCAGGAACTAATGGGCAGGGCCAGGAGGAGAAACGCATATTCAATGGACCACATACCTCGGAAGCTAGAAACTTTTTTGGCGCATACACACCAGGTGTGCAATTCACAGGGACTGAGTAGGAACCATATTCCAGTATTCAATTCTAACAATACATATGCCGCTGTAACCTAAGTCCTCTACCCTGTGGGCCCTTAACCATTTCATCATCTTGCCAGTTTGCTCGATGGCAGTGTTAACAACTTGTCGACTTTCCTACTAGATTTAGCGTGGGGTTGGTAGGTTTGAGCAGAGATGCTTCTTTAGGATGTAAATATCTCGTTTGAGCTTCTCCACTACTCTTTCTCTCCAGATCTCCGGATTAGAGTGTTCCTATAGCTAATATACACATTAACCATAAAATTATGACCACAGTGGGTAGGATATAGTAGACAGCAAGTGAACTTTGACCACGGCCAGATGGCTAGATGACCTGATGATCTGATGATTGCAGCTCTTGTGGGGTGTCCTGGTCTGCAGTGGTCATATTTGTGTAATATTGCTATCTTTGTATATCCTTAATACAGATGAGGAGGCGGTATGTTGTCTTAGCTTGACTTTATTCCAACACGTCGTAACCTAACACACCCTGAATCTCCCCACCTCTTCCGGTATCTCTGTACGTATACTTAGATACCGACGTATGCTCAGGCTTCTGGTGACTGTGTCGGAGTGTCATTCCTTTCTTGGTTGACGATCTCCAGATGCCTCCGGTTTCGTCTGGTGGTGTCTCCTTGTAGCGTTTTCACCACAAACGAACGTGGAGTAGAACACGAAGACTGTATCACCCCGGTCCCTCCCCATGTCTTCTCTGAGTCTGTTTACAGTCGCACTCTGTCGCCGACACCTAAGGCAGGAAGTGGCTTTGTTGTGTATCTCCTGTTGTAGGTGTATTCGTAGGCCTGCTTAGCTTTGGCATCTGTCTGCCTGATTGTAGACAGATTGGGCCATGCCGGTGTCAACTGATGGTGGAGCTTGGGGACTGTGGTTCGCAGTCTCCTTCCCATTCTTTTGTCGGCTCCGTGGCTGTGTTCCTGTAGATCAGGAGAGCTAGCTGGGGGTCCTGTTGCCTCAGGATGCTTTTAGCGGTCCTGACAGCTCGCTCTGCCATCCCATTAGCTTGGGGATAGTATGGGCTTGATTTAGTATGCTGGATGTCATACTTGGATGTGAAGACCTGGAAGAGCTGTGAGGTAAACTGCGGGCCGTTATCTGTAATCAGCTCTTCAGGTATCCTGAACCGTGTGCTTTGGCTCGGTTTGTGCTCATTACAGTGTGGGCATGAGGAGACTTTCTCCTTCACCGCATGGCTAATCTTTGGCCACCAGACGGCATCTTTGTATCTCTCCCTGGATTTGTTTAAGCCTTGATGCCCGTGGTGGATCCTCTCCAGTCTCTCAGTTCTTATTGTTTGTGGAATCACTATTTGGCTTCCCTTCTTCACCAGTCCATTATGCTCACTAAGACTACTTCTCTCCTTAAAATAGTCTAAAGCTGGTCTGACGACATCCTTTTTATATCGCGGCCAGCCAGACTTAATGTATGGTCTGACCTTCTGCAGGGTTTCATCCTGCTCTGTCTCTGCCTTTATGCACTCCAGCACTGTTTTAGGCCTTTCCTGCTCATTTTGTGTCTTCCGCATTTGACTCCGGGTGCCTCGACAGAACGTCAGGTATTATCAGGTTCTTACCTGGGATGTACTCAGCGACAGGGTTGAACTTCATTAGGCGGATCAGAAGTCGTTGACACCTCAGTGGAGTTTTGTCTAGGTCTCTGTGGTTGATGAGTGTCACCAGTGGTTTATGGTCGGTAAGTAATTTGCAGCTTTCCAGACCACACAGATATAGATAGAACTTTTCTGAAGCCCATACACTAGCAAGGCACTCCTTTTCTATCTGTGCATACTTCTTTTCCGCCTCACTTAGTGTACGTGAGCAGTAGGCTACTGGTTTGAGTGTGTCTCCATGATTTTGCAGCAGTACTCCTCCTAATCCATAACTGGATGCGTCAGCACCTACTACAGTAGGCAGTTTTGGATCAAAGTACTCAAGGACAGGTGCAGAGAATATCATTGTTTTTACCTTCTTAAAGGCTGCTTCTTGCTGCGAGTCCCACACCCATGCCACTGCATTCTTCAACAGCTCGTTAAGGGGATGAAGGATTTGTGACAAGTTGAGTATGTATCTGCCAACATAATTCACCATGCCAAGTATCCTTTTTAACTCACTCACATTTGTAGGTGTCTCTAAGGCGGTGATGGCAGACACTCTTTCTGGGCTCGGAGTCACTCCCTCCTGACTGATTACTTGGCCCAGGAAGTGAAGGGATGCCTGCCTGAACTTACACTTCTGGCGGTTGAGTTTTAAGCCAGATGCGCGGATTGTCTCCATCACTCTTTTCAGGCGGCGGTCGTGTTCTTCCAGAGTGGGTCCAAACACAAGTATGTCGTCCATGTAAACTACCATGCCCTCATGATCCTGCAGTAGTTCTTGCATCCTCCTTTGGAATATCTCTGTTGCCGATGTTATTCCGAATGAGAGCCGTTTAAAACAGTACCGACCATTTGGTGTTATGAAGGTAGTTAACTTTGAACTTTCTTCATCTAGAGCCATCTGCCAAAATCCACTGGCAGCATCCAGAGTTGTGTACACCTTACTTCCGGCAAGTTTGTGCAAGATGCTGTCTGTGGTTGGCAAGATAAACTTCTCTTTTCACGTTCTCATTCAGTTTAGTAAGACCTACTCAGATTCTTACTTTTCCAGTCGGCTTAATCACAGGCACCATTGGCGCTACCCATTCTGTGGGCTCCGTCACACGCTCTATTATGCCATTTTCTTCCATTCTCTTCAGCTCCTCTTCTACCTTTGGCAGCAGCAGAATGGGTATGCGGCGAGGGGCAGCAACACTGTATGGCTTAGCGTTTTCTTTTAGGATTATTTTGACGGGGTCTCCTTTAAGCAGTCCTAACTCCCCAAACACACTGACTTCTCCTATGTGTTGTATCAGACCCAGGCGAACACCGACAGATCTGCTCAGTAGGTTATCACCTGTAGACTTGGCCACTATTACCCTAAAGTAACAGTGGGTTATTTTTCTCCCTTGTGTATTAGCTAGGAATTGCCCCAAATGGACCACTTTTCCTCCTCGACTTTCCAGTTTAGAAGTGACGCCTAAGTTTTGGTTTGACACGGAGGCGGCTATATGTAGCCTCATTTATTATCGTTGTGTCAGCACCAGAATCTATCTTGAAGCTAACTGGAGTATGGCATATCACTAGAGTTGTGCGCCACGGTGGCTCTGTATCAGTGATGACTTCATCCACTGTAGCCTCATTCTTGGTTGTAGTTTCTTCTATTGAGCCTAAGAATAAGCTGTCAACTTCTTCAGTCACTTCCTGTATCATTCTGGTTTTGCACTTGTTTGCAAAGTGACCAATTTTGTGGCATTTATTACATTCTCTCTCTTTAGCTGGGCATTTGTCTCTTGCATGCCTGCGCTCACATCTTCCACAGTTTGGCCTTCCATTTTCTTTCCTTCCTGCTGTTGCCTCATACTTTTTTTCCTTTTACTTTTATAAGACTTTGATTTTACTTCATCAACGTGCCCTGATGCGCCAGCCTCGCTGTTCTGTTGCTTTACTAGCGCAGGCCATGTCGACTACCTTTTTCAGAGTGAGTTCACTTGTCATTTGTAGTTTCAATGAAAGATCTTTGTCTTTAATCCCTATGACCAGTCTATCTCTTATTTCCTCCTCCTTTTCATGAAAGTCACAGTGAGCTGCAAGTTCATACAGGTGCCTTATGTACTGTTCAACGGACTCACCCACCTCTTGCGTCCGCGAGTGGAAACGTGCCCTCTCGAAAATCACGTTGCTTTTCGGCACAAAGTGCTCGTCGAACAGCCTCAGCACATTGTCAAAATCCTCTTCCTCGTCATCCTCTAAGACGAATGATTTGTACACTTGTTCTGCCTCCGGGCCCATAGAATAAATCAATGCACAGACCTAGACATCGGCTGGCTCCTTGTTAAGCTTCGTTGCTACTCGGTACCTGGAGAATCGTTGTTTCCAATCAGGCCAGTCCTCCGGTTTAGTGAAATTAAGCTGCTCCGGCGCCAAAAACTTTGCCATCCTGGGCGGATTCCTCCAGTGAAACTAAACCCCGAGTCAGCGTGCAGTCTGCATCCCACTTCTGACACCATGTGGAATATTGCTATCTTTGTATATCCTTAATACAGATGCAATACAATATGTTGTCTTAGCTTGACTTTATTCCAACACGTCGTAACCTAACACACCCTGAATCTCCCCACCTCTTCCGGTATATCTCCGTACGTATACGTAGATACCGACGTATGCTCAATCACAGATAGTAACAGGTTTACGTGACAATATTGAACAACCTCCATGCACTTGAAGAGTAGTCCTGAGCAGAGTAGTCAAGCATAGGCAGACCTTTTCTTTTAACACTGTACCACGACTGGAGAAAACTCAGAGCAGAGCGTGATGATGGCCATGTTCCTGTACTGACAAGCTGTGAGCAGATCATAAGCCAGATAAGATGACCAGATAAGGACATCTGTGCTGATCTGACATATCTTTATGTAAAGGCTGTACTAGAGTGAAAAATGGGGGCGGGGGGGGGGGGGGGGTGTTTACATAACTAAACATGTAGCATTTCTAACCTACTACACAAAAAAAGCAAACGAAACAGCATTAGTTATAGGAAAAACGTAAGTACTAAGTTAAATGTCATTTCACCTCCACTAAGCTCTCAAGCCTGCATTTTGTCCATAATATTTTTGTGTTTTATTGTCTTACAACTTTGTAATGGAACCTTTTGATAGGAGATGACAGAAATAAAGATACAAATTTTTGCTGCTATATTTTTGTATAGTTTAGTTGTCTGGCCTGGATGTTTGACAAAGAAGAATAACCTACATTTATATGCTCTTCATTTTTCTTATCTTCATTCACTTTCCATTGAGGCCAAGACGGATGTTTATGTCATACAGTTTGACCCTCTTGGCAACCAATCAAATGTCACCTCATTTTTAAGCTGTTGTCTGCTCTTTCGCTGTGCTCAGTTCTCAAAACCTCTGAGAAGATGCACCTGTATACGATCCTCTTTGGAGTATGTAAGTACTTGATAGAAGATATTTTCAGTTTATAATTTGAATTAATTCATTCATTTGAATGTCACCTCATGTCTATAACATGTTTTCAACACCTTTTGATCTAGTTCATCTGTCAGCGGTGATTCAGTCGTCGGCACTCAAGCAGGACACTGGGGTTATATCTGCTCGTGTTGGGGAAAATGTGACGTTACATTGCTTCTATGACAGCCAAGTGGCAATGCACTTCTCCTGGTACCGACAAACCTTAGGAAGTGGACCTGAACTTCTGTCTAGTATTTACAAATATGATAAACCATCCACAGTCTCCCGCTGGACGGAGAAGAACCCTCGTTTCTCTGTGCAAAGGAAGGAAGGGATGAATCATCTCCACATCTCTGACGTTCACTTATCAGATTCAGCTACGTACTACTGTGGAAGCTCACACTCCAACATAGTGGACTTTGGAGAGGGAGTCTTTCTTAGTGTAAAAGGTATTGTACTTTATTTATTTTTTATTTATTTTGACTGTAAACTGCAGAGATTTGCATTCAAAAAAATGCTTTTTTTTAATCACATGAAGTATTAGCAAAATTGCCATTTTTCCTTTGCTTATTGTGATAAATGTTTTTCCCTGTGGATTTTAGGAGTCAACATCAAGGAAATAGTCCAGGGGCCAACATCTGAGACAATCCTGAAAGGAGGCTCTGTGACTTTCAACTGTACAGCACGCTTCGGGACCTGCGATGGAGAACACAGTGTTTACTGGTTTCGACATGGATCTCGCCAAGCAGTCCTTCAGGCGCTCGGGGATGGGTGTAAACAAGTCTCCACATCAGGGCCTCCTTCACTGAACTGTGTCTACCATTTGCAGAAGATGAACCTGAGCTCCTCTGATGCTGGAACCTACTACTGTGCTGTGGCCTCGTGTGGGGAGATACTGTTCGGTAATGGAAGCAAGCTGCTCATCAAAGATGATGTTGAAGACCAAGCGGCACAGATTACAATCTTAGTCTGGCTCTCCATAATCAGAACCGGGCTTCTCTTATTCTTTTTAACTATTTGCTTCTTATTTCACATCACCAAATGCGGGTGATGTTTTTAATGCAGAGGTTGGCTTTCTTAGTTCAAAGTGTTAACTTAGTTAAGAATATCTTTTACAATTATATGTTATCACAAGTTAAAAAAATTCCATCTAGCTTTCTGATTTCGCTTTTTTGCTGTATTATATTTTTCTTCATAAATGCAACTTTGACAAAGCTATCCCAGAGTGTTCTTATTTTTGAGTCATTATTTGTACGATTAGATGAAGCATACAAATAATAAACTTCGGATCACGTTGAATCTATTGTTTAATCAAGCCATAAATTTTGTTCCGGTTTTACCAACCACAGCGCTACATAACATCTGCGATGTTTGCTCACAAGCTGTATGCAGTTAAAAACAAAGAAGCTGGTAAACTGTGTTATGGAACATCAGTGAACTTCTGCTTCTTCACATGTAGTTTGAAAAAAAGGTTCCTGTGATCCACTGAAAGTCTTGCAACAGAATTGCGACATAATGAGGACATCCTGCGTGAAACCACTTACAAACACAAAGAGAGCACAACGGCAAAGGTTATCGTATTTTACTGCTGACCACAAGAAGACTGACAGGCCTATTTTCTGTGATGGTGAATGGTGTGTCGGTGAAATGTCAATGCAACAGGTGCATCTATTAAGGATGGCAACCTAAGAACACAGAAGCACTTGATTGTTGGACTATAGAAATATCATTTTTATGGTGATTAAGTATTCTCCACCAGTCTTTGTTTGGATGTGGGGTACCACACAGTGATAGAGGAGGTGAGGAGACTCTTGATGGTGGCTCTGTAGAACTAGATGCAGATCTTCAAGGAAAAATTCCTTTTTCGGAGCAATCCTTAAAAAATCATCCTCTGATGAGTTCGCTTGATGAGCGTGTCTCCCTTTTCATGAATAAACTACTGTGTCTTGATTGTATTTTAGTGAAGCTGGTCTGCAGGAGGAGCGTCTGGGTTCTGAACACACTGCTGCATAGACAACTGCGGTCTGAAAGACATGAAAATCCAAATATTTTGTATTTGTTCTGAACGTTTGGACTAAGAGAGATCCTGCATATAGTTAACATGTGGTACTGGGTGCTTGTGACTGACAAACACTATTGTATTATATTAAACTACATGGGAACGTTTAAAGGTATAAAACTGAAATTGCAATCAAAAACAAATCAAACAAGGCACGAAAAGCTAAAAGAAACAAATGAATTACCTGACTGTCTTCAAGAGACCAACCACTAGATCTGAATGCTGCTGTAAACAAAGTGACCATCAATGCTAGTAACGGCAGAATATAATTTAACATTTTACTTAAATATTCTATTTAAATTCAGATATACAGATATTCAATATAATACATAGTTTACATACTTGTGGGATCTTCCTTGTGGTTCTTACAAAGTGTCCATACAAGCAGAAGTGTCACCATCCCAACAACAGTGTTTGACAGCATCAGCGCAATAACAGTTGGACTCAGATCATCTGATTTGGTGAAGGCAACGTCTCCATTGAACATGTGACAATGAACAAACAGTATTTCATTTAGATTTTAACAACAAACTTTTGCTTACTTACATGAGAATAAAACTTATTAATACAGTAGATTTTCTTGGACTGATATCTTCCACCTCTCTTCCATACTGTCTTACTGTGAATATTAATCCTGGTCCCATTTCCAAACAGTATCTGTCCACACAAAGTCACAACACAGCAGTAGGCTCCAGCATCATCAGAGCTGAGGTTCCTCATGAGAAGGTTGGACACACAGGTAGTTTCTCCGCTCTCAGTCCTCTGGCAGATGTCGTTCTTATTTCCAGAGGAGTAAATCATTTCTGGAGCAGAATGATCTGAGGTTTTCAGCCACATGACACTAACGTGTTCTGCTGCACAGTGGCCAGTGAGAACAGAACAGCTGAGAGTCACAGAGTCTCCTGGCTGGACTGACTGAGACTCTGGCTGCTGGACGACAGAGTCGCTGATCATCTTTGCACCTTGGGAAACAAATCAAAGAAGTCTGATCATTAGTATTCTGTTCACAGTCAGCTGTGATCAGTAAGCTCAGTATGAATGCTTGAATAATTAACTACAGAGAATAAATACCTTTTATCATCAAATATGTTCCTTGTCCAAACTGAATTTCGTTTAAGTTCATCACTCCACAGTAGTATGTGCCAGTGTCTCTCCACATTGTTGTAGATATGGTCAGGTGGCTGCTAATGCTGTGGGATGTCACTGAATGATGATTTGATTGCTCATTAAATGTTGTCAGATTATATAAAGTATCTGTTGAAGCCACCAGCTGTAGTCTCCCCCCTGTGTTTAGTTTGTACCATACCCTAATTCTTCCAGCAATATTGATGTGACATGTAATAGTAACTGAGCGTCCTAGCTCCACTGCTTGGAAAAGAGCAGCCTGATAGATGTCACTTGACCGTACTTCACCTGAAAGAAACAGAAAAAATAACAAGGAGCCTAAATAATACAATCACCTCGATGTATGTAAAACGACATAAATAGATCTCACAAGTGGATTTTTTTACTTACACACAGACCAGAGCAGGGAAATAATCAGAAGACACACCATCACCTTCTCTGCTTCTATCCCCATCCTCTACACAGCAGGTCTGACTTGCTCAAGTGACAGCAGTCTTAACAGATTCACCATGCAGGACCAACTGTTGCGACAGCGTGTCAGGTATCTGATTGGTTCATCTTCAGCCTCACCTGATTGGCTGCTTCTTAAGTCAAAGAATGTCTCATATTATCCCATGAGGCTTCATGTTGTTTCTATCTACTATACAGTAATCTTAATGCTGTACCAAGCAAACACTAGGGGTGGTACTTTTATAAAAAAATAAGTGACAAAACTAGGAAATCCAAGAATATAAAATAACAGAAATATAAAAATATTAATTCTCAGGTCTTTAAATCTGAAGTCAGATAAAGCAAATTCCAAATAGAGGAACACAGAAACGGCTTCATAAAATGAAAGCAGATGGCTTAAGTAACCATACTTAAACTGACTCTATGATGTGGTGTTGGTGTTTCCTTTGGTGCACGTGTCTTATATAACTGTTTTTTTTTTACTCTTCTTACTGAGCGTTCCTGTTGTTCTGCTGTGGTCCTGGTGGTTCACATCAAGATAACCAAATAGTTCTCATTGGCAATTCAATTATGGATAGTTAAATTATTGAAATGTCAGCCTCTGCCGCCCTCTTCTTTACATTTAACACATGATGCAACAGAAACTCGTCTGGACCCCTTTATGGCAGAAAATACGTTTTATCTTTATTATCTTGTGTGAACCAAATGTCTAAAAGTAACTGTCATTTCATAGAATATGTCTTTGCATAGGCTTCTGATTTTCTAAAATATTTTCTACCACTGTGATTACAATGTACCTGAATCTTGAAATGTTGGCACACAGACCTGAGACCCATGGAAGCCCCACATCCGTTTAATTTTCAAAAAACACCACATTTTTTGTCATGCTGCATGTTATGACCAAGCGGCAACCTCCTGCTCTCACTTACGATACCAGTCAGGAAGTAACTTAAACTGCAGTTCATCGAGTGGCCTCTTTAGGCTGGCTGCAAAAGGGAGTCAATCTCCATTGAATCTGAAACTTTACAGCAGAATAAAACATGTTTAGTTGTAAAGTAAAGGCTCTGTTAGTTGACGTTATGTTAACGGTAAACTTTACAAACAGGCAATGTTAGTTCTGCCTGCCCTGCTGAGGAGAGCCATGCACGTCCAAGTGTACTATAAAAACGATAGCGTTATACTGTTCTTTGTGGGGTTCATCAGTGGGGATTATTGATTTGAAGTTCATATTGAAGGACGTTTAGAGTAATCATTAAGTTATTGCACTTAGTAGATGTAGTATTCCTTGTGATTCAGCAATCAACAATCTGAGGTGATAACTGCGTTTGATGAGCAGCGTTTCTGAAAGGGAGCTTAAGAGGTGGATGCATACTTCGGCAGAACAGATGTTGTAGGCTACCTGCAGAGATTTGCATCCGCCTTTTTGTCAGCATATAATGAGCGTTATGCCTGCAGACAGGTACAGTAGCTGGGCTTTAACTAGTGCAGTGCTCCTGAGTTTAATAGTTAGTTTAGTTAAGGTGAGAAATTAGGTGTGTCAGAGTTTGTTTGGTGGATTAGAATTTGCCTAACAAGGTAGTACAGATTCTTATAATAAATGTTGAATAAGATCTGACTTGAGCAGTCAACAGAAGTCTAGCAGCATGAATTATTATTGCCCAGTGTCCCGCAGCAAACCATTGCACATATTAGTAACAGTTTATTTCACATTTCCACCCCTGATTATAGTTACATGCCAGAGAGGTTTTCTTGCTGAGGTGATCTCAGGGTTCCGTAGCTTTATGGCACTTTGGGAGAAGCTGCTTAACTGTCTACCATTTGTTTTCTTTACAGGTGCCAGAGAAGTTGATTGCAGAACCCTCCAGATGTGATTTGCTGTGTCCAGCTCTACAGGAGATAACAGCCCCAGCTTCCAGCAAGGTTCTTCAGCTCCAACAGCTGAACAACACTACTACTAAAATTGATCAGACTAATTATACTTAAAATCAGTTTCCTATGTTAATTGCAAATAGTGTGATCTAAACTCAACAATATGTTATAGTTAACAGCTGTAAAAGAAAATATTACGATTGTATTTATAGGTTAACATTTTGCATATGTGTTAGTAGAAAGTAAAAAATGAAAGATGGTGAAGAGCTCTCTAATCAGCTAATTAAATCAAAACACCTGCAAAGGTTCCGAAGCCTTTAATCTCTCAGTCTGGTTCTGGTACTCACAATGAACTTTTCCACGGTATTCAAATTTTTTGAGATGCTTTTCTAAAAGATGGAAAGAGGGAGATCACCCTTCTTATCGGTATTGTAATAAATATCATCTTTTGGTTTGAACATGACTATGACTTCCCGTCCTCTAATGCCCCAGTATTGTTATAAACATTGTTGCTCCTCCTCCCCTGGACTTACCATCTGGAGGAACGTGACAAACAGTAAACAGTAGCTCTGCAATGGCCAAAGGACGTTTGGGCCATTTTGCTACAATGTAAGTTGACTGGCAAGGCTCAGGAAGCTTGTGCTGCACTTTCAGTGGAAGACAATATGTGTTTTGATACAGCTGAGCGCGCAGTATTGCGGGTCTATGAACTAGTGCCTGAGGCATATCGACAACGGTTTAGGGGCCTCTGTAAAGCTGCTGGCCAGACGTACGCTGACTTTGCTAGGGAAAACGTAACTTGATCGTTGGTGTGCGGATTGTAAAGCTGATGATTTTCCCTCCTTAGATGAGTTGATGTTGTTGGAAGAGTTTAAGAACCGTGTGCATGAAAGGATTGTCGTTTACTTGAATGAACAGAAAGTGGCTACCCTACAGCAACCAGCTATGCTAGCTGACAAGTTTACTTTAACGCATAAGGGTGTCTTCAGTAAGCCAATCTCATCCTTTGTCTCTTCACCACATCTTAGGGCTAACAAGAAGTCTAGTGACAGACAGGAACCCCGAGTTGGTTTAGCTAACTCTACTTTGGGTGCTAAGGCAGACAGGCTGTGTTTTTTTCTGCCATAAACCTGGTCACCTCATAGCAGATTGTTTAACAAAAAAACAGAGAGCATGAGAGAATTTTTTAAGCCGTTCATCCTTCCTGGTTCTGCATCACTCACAGGGCAGGTTGAAGATTAGAGTCAGGTCACCATACTACGTGACGCTGGTGGTTTGCGGTCTTTCATCCTTTCTAGTATCTTGCCTTTAGATGCTGAGTCAGCCTGTGATGTCAGTACAGTTGTCCGAGGTATCGGTATGTGTTGTGTGCCAGCCCCACTTCATCGCATCCACGTCTAATCTAAGCTGGTTTCTGGTTGGTAAAGTGTACCCTGACCCTGAAGTGGTCAATGTACCCATTTCTGAGAGTGAACCAGATGAGCTGGTTCAAAAACACCCATAAATGTTCTCGGTCAGCATGTTGACTAGAGCTCGGAAACAAGATCAGGAAGTAATGTTGTCTGACTCCATGTTCACTTTTTTTCTGAGGACAGGATGGCTGGTGGAGAGTCGACAGAAGTGTGTGAAAAAGTGCCAGAGACTCTGCCACTGCCGTTGACACGTGAAGGGCTCATTGGTGCACAGAAAAGTGACCCCTCACTGGAAAAGTGTTTAGCCGCAGTTTGTGCCGACCCAAGTGGGTGTAAGAAAGGTCAATGTTTTCTTGTGGAAAACGGAGTGCTTATGCAAAAGTGGTCTTCCCATACAGGTGCAGCAACAGATGAGACAGGTGAGGTATTTGACACAGTGTACCAGATAGAGAAACCGGTAGGACAGGTGCAGGTCAAGTCAGTGGAGGCCAAGATGGCTGCAGTGTTGGCTTATCCAGTTCCTACAACCAGATGAGAGCTCTGGCGTTTCTTAGGCATGACAGGATACTACAAATGCTTTTGTAAGAACTTCTCAGTGGTAGTGTCACCCCTTACTATTATTTTCCAGCACTGCCTTAACCCTCTTGGGCACCAGAACTTCACAGGTTGCCAGTGGAGCTGGTGGATGTTAGAGACCTTGCACTCCTCCACCTTCTGTTTGAGGATGCTCCACAGATGCTCAATAGGGTTTAGGTCTGGAGACATGCTTGGCCAGTCCATCACCTTTACCCTCAGCTTCTTTAGCAAGACATTGGTGGTCTTGGGGTTGTTATCATGTTGGAATACTGCCCTGCAGCCCAGTCTTTGAAGGGAGGGGATCAGTATGTCATTTAAGTACATATTGGCATTCATGGTTCATTCAATGAACTGTAGCTCCCCGGCAGCACTCATGCAGCCCCAGACCATGACACTCCCACCGCCATGCTTAACTGTAGGCAAGACACACTTGTCTTTGTTCTCCTCACCTGGTTGCTGGTACACACGCTTGACATCATCTGAACAAATACATTTATCTTGGTTTCTTCAGACCACAGGACATGGTTCCAGTAATCCCTGTCCTTAGTCTGCTTGTCTTCAGCAAACTGAGATTTCTTCTGGGACGAAAGCTATGCAGAACAATTTGATACAATTTGTGGCGTATGGTCTGAGCACTGACAGGCTGACACCCCACCCCTTTAACCTCTGCAGCAATGCTGGCAGCACTCATATGTCTATTTCCCAAAGACAACCTCTGGATATGAAGCTGAGCATGTGCACTCTACTTCTTTGGTCACCCATGGCAAGGCCTGTTCTGAGTGAAACCTGCCCTGTTGAACCGCTCTATGGTCTTGGCCACCATGCTGCAGCTCAGTTTCAGGGTCTTGGCAACCTTCTTATAGCCTAGGCCATCTTTATGTAGAGCAATAATTCTTTTTTCAGATCCTCAGAGAGTTCTTTGCAATGAGGTGCCATGTTGAACTTCCAGTGACCAGTATGATGGAGTTTGAGAGCGATAACACCAAATTTAACAGACCTGCTCCCCATTTGCACCTGAGACCTTGTAACACTATTAGTCACATGACACCGGGGAGGGAAAAGGGCCCAATTTGGATCTTTTCACTTAGGGGTTTACTCACTTTAGTTGCCAGCGGTTTAGACAGTAATGGCTGTGTGAAGTGTTATTTTGAGGGAACAGCAAATTTACACTGTTATACATGCTGTACACTCACTACTTTACATTGTAGCAAAGTATAATTTTTTCAGGGTCACATGAAAATATCAAATATTTACAAAAATGTGAGGGGTGTACTCACTTTTGTGAGATACTGTGTTCCTGCAATGTTTTTTTGCAGCAACACAGACCGCTAGAACTTAGTCAGCTTGTTCACATTGCATTTCCTCCAGGCTACCAGGAAGTGCTCCATGCTTCTGAAGCCAGTTTTATGTGTAGCCAAACAAGCGGCTGTAAAACGGTGGATACTTTATTTTTAGCATCACAACCCCTTCAAAATGACATAATTTAATCATTCCTTATTATTTTGTCCTGGAACAAAGATGGTTTAAAGGTTATAGGTCTGGCCTGCAGTCCAAAGACTTAGAGATAGTCTTATTGTTGTGCTGTATAACAATTTCATCAAGATAGGGGGAGGTAGACTTAATTACCAGATGCATAAAGAGAGACTTCAATATACAGTAACACTGACCAGGTAACTTGCAAATAAATTATGGGTCCTAGACTCTCTTAAGAGCTGTGGAGTCAAACATAGAGAGATAAACTTATCCCTTAGTGGGATTAATGAACACTACACAGAATCAGTGTGAACAGAAGCGCAGCCATGTCATGCTTTATATTCTTTTGTATTTGTGGAGGCACTCGCTGCCGACATACTACTACTACTGGATAGATTCTAGACAGGGACCTTTGATACATGCCCTCTCTGCAGTACAGGCTAAAATAAAGCAACATGTCAGTAGAATAGCAGCAGAAGCTTCAGTCCCTGTTCAGTATCTGCACAAGATGTGTTCAGGCACAGTACCGAATGTCGGTCACATGTGTTTTCTCAAGCTCAGAGCCAAATACACAATGAAAACAGAAGAAAATATAATTGTGTTTTGGGTTGCACTTATGTGAATAAAGCAATATGCAAATTGTCACTAATCACACTAATCATGTGAGTCCTGGAACTCAGTATCCCATGAACAGAAAGTTACACTTAAGACTGCAATGGAACCACATTTCTTCTACGCCTGGATGAATCCACAACAGACCTGCCAGCTAACAACTAGCATGCTTAAGGAACTTTTCACAGATCACACACATTCACATCTGATTTGGCCCAAACACAACCACGCAGTGAAGAGAGGAACTCTCTTTGTCCTGACCATGTGCGTCCATACTCGTACACGCGATGCATAAGGAGGCATAACAATGACACACGCACACACATCTCTTTGTCTTTAGTTTAGTGCATTTCAGTTAGCATTCATTTTGTGTTTTGCTTTTGTTTACCTTTCTAAATAAATGCTTGTGGATATCCATATTACATTTTTAGCTACTATTGTCTATCTTAGTAATTGATCTAAAAATTTATGTTACTGTGTGTTTAAGATCTGCATAGATGTAGGTAGGATCTATAACTCCGATTCAGAGAAGAACTGATGAAGAAACATCCTGCATGAAACCACAAAGAGACAAAGACATCACAAGATCTCATCTCTTTGCTTTTATCTGTAAATGGGTTAAAGCTTCCTGCTCTTTGGGTTTGTGGTAGCATGTACAAAAAACAACATCCCGTTCTGTGAAGACTTTGCTTTGGCCTTACGTATGAACAAACTGTATATGTGACATGTGCCAATGTTTTATTTTACCTTTATTTATTCAGGGAGCTTCACTGAGGGCAGCCTCTCATTTGCAGGATCATATCCTGATCATATTCACACTGTTACATATTCATACCTGGAAGCTGCCCAGGTTGCTCAAGGGCACCTCAGTGGTGGTAAGCACTGCTTGGTTTACTTTCCACACCCAGATTATATCCTGCCAATCTGGGGAGTGAACCGGGGATTGAACCGGCAACCTCCCGGTCACAAGCTCATCAATGTTGCAGTGACAGCGATCTGAGCCTGGAAACACTTCAATTATTGAGTTGTTTTATACTTTATAATGCATAACAACCAACTGAAATTATTAGTGTAAGGTGTGTGATCATAGTGAACTAAGGAAAGCTAACATAAGATGATAATCTGCTGTCACAATACAGTGTTGAGTCCTTTCTTGGTGAAGGCTCATATTTCACATTTGAGTACACGTTATCTGCATTTAAGATATGAGCCTTAGTTCACACAGCTGTCCTTTTAAAATGACTGTCTAAGCTGCTACACTGTGGCTTGGGGGCCACAGGCCTCAGTCTTCCTGTGTTCAAGCTAGGTCTTAAGTTTCCATCAGCGGAAACCTGTTCACAGAAGTTCACACTTCTTTCACAACAGTAAAAAACAAAATGATGAGAGTTGGACAGTTTAAACTTCACGCCCTCTCTGTACATTTATGGTTAGAAGAAGTTTTAATAGATCAAAGCGAATTTTGGAGTCCGCTCTGTCTGTGTCTGTATCCAATTCTGTATATTACAACATTCTCTTTTAATACACGGATTTTACTTTATGGCCTGCACATTTGACTGCAGAGCTTTCAGCTGAACCATTTTTAACACACTGTAGTTTGCTGTTGATTACTGATACTTTGTATTTGAATTTTACCTTTTCTGTTTCAATTAAATTCAATTTTTTTTATAGCGCCAATTCATAACAGAATCTATCTCAATGTACTTTTCTTTTAGAGCTGGTCTAGACCGTACTTTCTAATATTATTTACAGAGACCCAACATTTCCTACCATTAGCAAGCAGAGTGTGTGTGTGTGTGTGTGACAAAGGTCATAAAATATCAACCATTCCTAAACACCATCTCAGAGCTAGGCTATAGTAGACGACTGCTTGTGTTCATATTTGGCAGCTTAGGACATACGCACAGGCTGCCCATGCTCTGTCATGGTACCTATGAGAGATGAGTGATATGCTTAGTATTGTGAAGACCTGTTGCATGCCACTGGTCCATGATTTTGTATATGTATTTGACTAGAACTATAATATTTGAGATGGGGTATGTTTGGTTATTAGCAAAAATGTCGAAATAGTCATAGTTATTAATATTACAAATTATTAATAAAGATTCATAAATACAGGGAACCACCCTGAAATCAGGGACCAATAACTCTCAAAATGGGGTTTTGTCACCCTACAAATGCCAATATTTAAACATTAATTTACATAAATAAGGTAGACAGTGAAGGGTGAATCCGTGCATTGACCGTCATAACGATAGCTACGTATTGTAACTCCAGATTCTATGAGTATAGACGCAGCCCTCTAAGGCTATCGCTATTGGGTTTACATAACGGTGTGCAGTACTTCACCAGCGGGTGAGCGAAAACTGTCCTGTCAGCGAAACACGTTGTGACAGGCGAAATGGCTGCAGCGTAGGTCTTAACCGTACTGAATGCCAGAACTATGTCCATGAGCAGCTGGATCACATAAGCACCCCATGCAGTGGACAGGCCTGGGTCCAAATACCAGTGTTGGAACGCCGACCATTTGGAGGAGTAAGAGGCTTCAGAGCCACCAGGATCACTGCCAAGGCTGAAAATCGCAGGCAGTTCAGGGGGCGAGGCATCAGCCGAACCGGCGGAAAAGCATACAGCCAAGGAGGCCACAGTGGGTGCATGATGGCATCCAGATCCACAAAGAAGGGCTGAAAGCAAAATAGCTTAGTAACCTGAGGTTAGTGAACATGTTTAGCTCAGCAGTGGCCATCTAACATTAGCTTGCTTTCTTTCAAAGGTTGACTCCGACTATCATTCGTTATGAAAAGATGAATGAGCATTTGTTAATATACTCAAAGTCAATTAATGTAATTATTTATGTACCGCTGGCTGCCGTCACATTAATTATTAATGTTGGCTGCAAACAGGTTACAGGTTTATTGTTGATCATGTAACGTTACATTTACGTTTTATTTAGTTAACATCACACTGGGTTTGAGGGTCTGGGGGATGTGTTGACTGAGTTAACAAGCTGTCATAATTGCATTGCACGTTATATGGTTGTGCTCTGTAAGTGAAAAACAGGTTACAATTAAAGAATCCCTGATAGCTATGCAGTGTTCTAAGCATCCTGGATTGAACGCAGCAGGTGACAACATTCATTATAACCACGAGTGACTTGAGACTTGACTTGGACTCTAGCCTGAGAGCATCTCTGTCTGGATCCCATCTTAATTTTTTACAGTGTTCTAGTGGGGTAATAAGGTACTATGAGCTACCAAGAAATGTGGGTGAGGCTTCTAATGTGAGTGAGTGAATGACTGACACGGTAACATGCGGCTTTCATTTTTACTCTGCAACTCCAGAGTGCTTAATAATTTTCTCTGCTGTTTGCAGTGTTGAGCAATGTCAGTTTTTTCAACTTAGTACTCACTTCATTCTGTTACTAGTCATAAATAGTAACTATTTACTTCAGTCTTCAACAACAAACATGTTCTGTTCCTGGTGATGTGCTCACTTTCCACATTCCTCTGTGAAGCAATATTTAAAAGATGTCTGAATAATTACTTTTTTAAATTTTTTTTTTGTCTACTACTGTTCATACTATTCTACACGTAAGGACCAGCTTACTCATTGCCATGCTGTTTCAGTTTTATCTTCAAACAGTGCAGTTAAATAGAAATTGTTTGTGTTTCTAAAAACTTACATTTGATGATGACAGACCTATCTCAGAGCATTTTTTATTGGAACTTCTTTACACTCAAGAAAGAAATTGTCAAAAAGAAACTGCTCATTGTGAAGTTTTCCTGGGTAACAACATCTTCCCTGTAGCTTTTGCAAAGACACAGCGCTGATTTTTTTCAAGCTGTTTCACAAGACAGAATTCACTCCATATTGAGGTCATGGTAGAATGTTCAGAGGTAGACATCACAAACGTTTGGCACATTAAACAGAAAACAGATACCACAAGGGTGAGAAAATATAGCTTGTGTATATATAGCTAGTGTAAGAGTAGCAGGTCTCTGACATCCACTGTCCATTTTTCTGTAGAATGATTTTAGTCGATTATAGGAGCTTAGGTTTATTCTGTATTTTATCTACATCTGACTTTTACAACTACAAACGTACTTTAAATAACTTTATCCAGCAGCCGTCTTAATGCAGCAGCCACAGTCATTCAAGACTGCTTGATTGATTAAACTTCTTTATTGATTGTTAATATAAAGGCTGCTAGCAGCTTCTAAATATATATAATTTCATTTAAAATTTAATCCATAAAAACTCCTAAATACAGTGGTTACAACTGACATGCCAGAATTGGCCCAAAGGCTTCAAACTAGACCAACCACAGAAAAATGACAATAATAATCAACAAAAGCATTATTCAGATTCAGCAGGTCATTCAGTTATTTGTTGCAGCACACACATGCCCAACAATAAATGTTTACTCAGCAATTTAGTATTTCCATAGTCGTTAGTACTGAAATTAAATTTAAGAATTCAATTAAATAAAAAGCATCTAAAACAGTAAACCATTGCTTTGTTCAGAATCAGCGGCATGATATTGGGGTGGCAGTAGCTCAGTCCGTAGCACATTCAACAGTATTTAAATATACCATTCATGCTGAAAAGATGTGAAGTTGCTGAGTACAGTTTTAATCAGGGAGAGCTAAGCTCCAGTGGCTGACTTCTTCATACATGACAAAGCTAAAGCTCATATTTTAAAGTTGTTATACCACTAAACATATATAGATAGATATATATTTGTTTAGTAGCAAGGCATTCTTCATTCTGCCTGGTTTATCTGCATTCCCCAGATCACCCAACTCAGTTCTGCGGACAGTATTTGATGTCAGAATAAACTACAGTGGATCTCACTGAGGTTTGACTGGCTGGGAGGCTTCTGGGAACAGAACACAAATCTTCATAGATAACTGCATCACTAGTCTGTGAGAAATGGACATTAAAAGAATTATTCTAAACGCTGGGCATAGAAAACTACTTACACAACAAATTAAACTGTCTGTGCTGAGACAAACTCTTACCTGATTGCCTTCTGAACAGCCATCAGTTGCCTCTGAAGAAACACACAAAAAATAACTACAGTCAGTTCCAGTTAGTGCAGAAATCAACTGAATGAGGATCTGATTCTTCAGCCGATCAATATAACAATTTTAAATACCTGTGGAATCTTTCCTCTTGCAAAGTGTCCATATAAGAAAGACTGTCACAGTCCCAAGAATGATGTTTGACAGCGTCAGTGCGATACCGGTTGGACTCTGTTCAGGTGGCTTGGTGTCTGCGTTTTACAGAAAAGAGTAAAGAAATGGTGAGTCATTTAGATTTGTATATAAAACCTACGATTGCGATGTCCTCCATTTAAACGATGTCTAATTCCGATGTCACAACTGACTGGACCAATCAGTTTTATCATATCTTGCCATGCAAATAGTGTTGAGTTAACAGTTAAGTATTTTAGTTTCTTATTCTTCACCAGAATGCAAAAATGTTGGCTTTAGGGCTGCAAATAACATTTTTTTTTATCATTCTGATGATTATATTCTCAATTAATCATTTCGCCTATAAAATGTCAGGACATAGTGACAAACTTTAATCTCAATTTTACAGAGCCTAACATTATTTTCTGCCAATCAACTAAAAGATTTGTAGACAACATTTTTGTCTGGCGACAGGGTTATATACAGTAAAAGTGAATGGCAACTTGTTTGTGAGGCTCAAAGCACTGTCAACTCCACAAATGTATGGTTGAATCAACACTTCTCTGTATTTACCATTTATATGATTTACTAGGAATTGGAAGTATTTTACAGTGACAGTTTCTGTCTTACTGTGAATATTAATCCTGGTCCCATTTCCAAACAGTATCTGTCCACACAAAGTCACAACACAGCAGTAGGCTCCAGCATCATCAGAGCTGAGGTTCCTCATGAGAAGGTTGGACACACAGGTAGTTTCTCCGCTCTCAGTCCTCTGGCAGATGTCATTCTTATTTCCAGAGGAGTAAATCATTTCTGGAGCAGAATGATCTGAGGTTTTCAGCCACATGACACTAACGTGTTCTGCTGCACAGTGGCCAGTGAGAACAGAACAGCTGAGAGTCACAGAGTCTCCTGGCTGGACTGACTGAGACTCTGGCTGCTGGACGACAGAGTCGCTGATCATCTTTGCACCTTCGGAAAGAAATCAAACAAGTCTGATCATTAGAATTCTGTTTAAACACAGCTGAAATGAATATGCAATTAGGGTAAAATCCTGGAAATGAATACCTTTCAGCATTAAAAAGGTTCCTGGTCCAAACTTGATGCTGTCCAAGTGCATTACTCCACAGAAGTATGTTCCAACATCCTCCCATGTTGTTGCAGATATGCTCAGATTACTGATGAATTTGTCAAATCTTACTGAATAACGGTGATGAAATTCAGCACTAAATACACTCAGATTATAGCTGGAGTTTATTTCTACCACAAGCTGCAGTTTTTTCCCTGTAGTCTTGTACCACACTCTTTTTCCCATCTCACTCTTTATGTGACACTCAATAGTAGCTGAGTCTCCGAGCTTCACTGTTTGGAAAGGAACCGGCTGAGAGATGTCACTATGCTGTGCCACACCTGAAATATACAGACAGGATATAATCACCATGTTTGAGTGTGAAGATGACATGAAAAGATTCCACAAGTGGATTCTTCGTTACTCACACAAAGACCAGAGCAGGAAAACATTCACAAAGGACACCATCTTCTTGGCTGCTTCTCTGATCCTGCTTCTTCTCCACAGCAGTTCTGACCTGCTAAGACTGCGGCAGACTTAACAGATTCACCACTTGGCCTACTTTGGGCCACATCTGTCAGGTCTGATTGGTTCATCGTCCTCACCCTGCAGAACAGGATTGGCTGGTTCACAGTGAAGCAATAACAAAACCTTCATCATGACCTGTTTTGACATCAAATCTTCAACTCATCAGCTCTTTGACATTAAATGGCAACACGCAGGTAAACCACAAAGAGGTGAGCAAAATGGAAACTGCAATTTAGCTGCATACTTTCCAGAAGAATGGAAGACACATGTCATGAGCCACACATAGTGTCCTCAATATGAAAGTGTGTCAACATTTAAAAGGATGGTAAGAAAGAAAACGTGTGTATGGGTAACAAAGCCAAAATATCTAACAGCAGCTGTACTGTGGTACTTGGATGAGGTGAGCAAAGCGGGGAACTACAGCATGTTAGAACATTAAAAAAATTCACTCTGTATATTTCACAATAGAAACTGTCTTCAGTAGAAAGTTGATTTGTTTAAATTCTGTGAGCATCATTAACTAAATTCTGTTCAGCTTATATCATAAAACCACAATAATAAATAAATAAAACTTTCTACATGGCCAGATCCCTTTAGAATTAAACAATTTCCTGATTTGTGTGAACTGACTCTTTGCAATTCCTGATGACACACTGTGATGGAGTCTGCTTATTAACGGAAAAGAATGACATTTAGGGAAATACGGTCATTTGCTTTCTTGTAGAGAATTAGACGATACAATTGATGCCGCTCTCTTGTCTATACATAATTCTTGGTCAGGTACATAACCCACCATAAGCCACGATTTGACGGTTACATGTTAATTAGTGAGCTTTAGAGGTGCTGGTAGGCAGATTGTGTTACCTTTATAGCAGTGCTTGAAGTGGAAAGAAATAGGTGATTCTACCTGCATCCGCTTGCTGTGAGCTGAGATCAATGAGATCAAAAATACCGCGAGACCAGGCAATTGTGTGATTCCAACTTTGTGCAGCCAGAGAAAAGCAACCGCGAGGTTTAAATGTCACGTGAAACAATTTCTAACCAGCATACCTTAATTTAAGGCCAGCGTGCATCACGTTGAGTCAGTGCTGCGCAGCGCCGCATGAAGTCAAACACACCTATTCTGATTCTGACCCCAGCGTCCTCAGTGTAAATGACACCTATCTGTCAATATTTGTCCCGCCCAATCTAGGCTGTGATTGGTCGGTTCACAAAAAGTGACATTGACGATCTACATTCAGCACACGGCTGCTTGAAAGGCACCCAAGCTTCTCTCATCCCTCATCTCTCTCCGCCGACAGACTTTAGCAGGCAGTGGAGAATGGGAGCATCACGTAGCGCCCAGAGAACCTGATGGAGAGGGCAGAGGAGAGTTCCGACAGCTCTGGAGGAGCCCCGGTAAATAAGAAAATGTCCCGGTACACCAAAGAGTGAAATGCTGAGGTGTAGGTACTGCATACCGGTGTGTTCTGGCCCGCTTCAAGCTCTGCTTTGGAGAAAGACTGGTTAGCTGTTTCTTCCTGTTTCCAGTTTTTGTGCTAAACTAAGTTAAGAAAAACATGTTCCCTAAATGTCAACCTCTTCCTCTCATGGTGTGGTAAACATTAAAGGAGGAGTGGACAGGTCTGCACTGTGGATGATATGTCTCAGTATCTTCATATTCCCCTAAAGTTCTGATTAATGTCAGCACAGCACTTTTGTTTTGGCATTTCAGTAATGATGTAGTATTCAGTGCACTTGCAGGTGTAAAGAAACCACAGTCAGCAAGTGAATCTGTTTTGTTTTTCTTCCTCTGCAGCTCAGCAATGAAGCACTGTCCAAGGAAACAAAAAGGCTTTTTGTACCAAAATGGCTTTAACTTTTTGAAGATCTCTCAGACATGTATCACAGGTTAATATACTGTATTACGCCTCCTGTCCTCTGTAATGCCTCCCTGTAATCTTAAGTAAATGTGACTTCCTCCCAGACCGTTTCTGAGAACAATCTGAGGCGCTCTTACCTTGAAATCACAGAGCAGCTGAACTGCGTATTTTAAGCGAGGCAGAGCAGAGAAATGCTTCTCTGACACTTCTGAAAGTGTCTGGTGAAATCACAAGCATTGTCTACAGAGCATGTGATCAGCTCCGGCCATCGTGTCGCCATGTAATCAATGATACTGCTGACCACAGCATTTAACTGTTTTTAAAGTTTTATCTCAAGTCTATTAAGTGATGTCTATGATTCTCTATGGTTCTTTATGTGCCTTTGTCTGTCAGGATCTGTTTGTACTATGTATTTGTGTTTTTGTTGTGTGGCAGTTTGTTTTTATATTTTACCTGCTGAACTCCCTCTTGCAATAGAAGAGATGAGATTACCTGATTTAATTAAGGTTATACACAGTATTTCCTAATTCAGACTTCTTGGCCTCTGCTGTGGTTTACTGAATCGGAGCTCTGCTTCATTTCTGTAATCTAAAAGTGAAGTTAGAAGAAGAAGTTAGTGGGTATTTAGTGGGTGCACACACACATATCGATGTCACAGCCCTCAACAGGCATAAAAATTTACTCTTGTTCCTGTTAGCATGTATGCATTAGTACTGACTGCTGAGATAGAGTTTCACATAAGATAATCCTGTTACAGCAAATTTCCATCATGTCAGTCTCACTGCATCAAGAAGCTAACTGTATTAGTTTGATCCCAAAACTAAGACAAAGAATTTGAACTACAATAAAATTATTTGGTTCCCTCTATGGAGATCCGTATTGAAACCAAAAACAGATGATGAAAAAATTTTGGATTGTCTCAAATATGTGTGGATGAGTATGGTATATGGTACATGCTTTAGTTTCAGCATCTTATTCACTGAGATAAGTATATTTCAACCTACTGGCACAGAGATATTACTGTACTTCACGTGTTATGTGTGGAACTACTTCATTATTGAGGTTTTGCAGGGTATTCTCAGCTATTTAACGCCTATGGGGACGTTTGTCAAAATGATAAATACCGCTGGTTCATTAGTGCTCAGAGATTAAATAGCTGAGTTTCACTACCAGTCAGTCAGAACTGAGGAAGTCTGTCAGATGATGGACCAAACCTCTTCAAGTATTTTCAACCAAGCTCGGTTGCTACTGACTTTAACCTTCCTTGGATGATACATGTTCTACTCTACTGCTTTTCAGTAAAGTACACACATTCAGTCCAAGTGTCCTCTTTCTGTCTCTGTGATCTTGTTCTCCCATCCATCAGCGTGCTGGACATTATCTTCATCCTGGCAACCCTGGACATGGGAAACAGTAAATCACATCTGAACAGCATTGGCTGTGGAGGAAGCTGAAAATCCTGCATAAGACAGTAGCAGATACCTGCACAGTGGCTGCAAGTTCTCTTAATGATCATGCACTCCAAGAAAGCCAGTATATCTGGGTGCCAAAGATCCAGGATTGACATGTACCATGTGACCTATTAACATATACTGTATGTCAACTGATGAGCATATTATCTGCAAATCCAGACACTTACTTTCATTTGACAGTTTTTCCCAAAGCGACAATTATGGCATTACAAAGCAGCTTTACTCTGTGTTCATTTTATGTTTGATAAAGGAGTAACCATAACTATTTATCAGCTGAGAGAACTTCTACTAAAAGTTACTTATCCTCAAAGTCCAGCTTGGTCCCCTTCGTAAACAGTATCTGGCCACATGTTGTCAAGCCAATGTATTTTCCGTCCTCTGGTCTAAATAAAAGATTTGTCACTTCCACAAACACCAGAGTAGGAAATCATTCACAATCAGATTGTCTGCTTTAGCAGTTCTGACTGACCGAAGCACCAGAAACAGCAGACTTAACAGACATCTGTCAGGGCTGATTGGTTCATCAGCTGCACCACCTCTGTGGTTATGAATTTAATGATGTGTAGAGGCAGAACAGGTATTTTGTGCATTGAAACATTAGTAGATTTCCACTTGAGTAACTCATATACAGATTTGCCACAGGTTAATATACTGTTTTAGACCTCTTGTTCCTAACCCTAATGCCTCTATGTAATCTTAAGCAATTTTGACTCCCCCCTCAGATCCTTTCTGAGAACTATCTGAGGCGCTTCCTGAGCAGTACAATTGTGTCTCTCGTGTGGTTTAAACTGGTTTTCATACAACCTGTTTTGTTAAGAACACCCATTAAGCTCAATCCAGTTACCACACCGCATTTGCCGATGACCTTGTGGTCTGCGTGTACATTCTTCACAGGGTCACAATAGCTCAACACACAGCATAATATAATTTATTCTGATATACCATAAAAATCGTTCACACACACACACACAATAACAAGAAATAAAAAGGGTAATTAATATAAACATGACAAAACCTTAGAAAAACAACAATAGAGAAACTAGTGAGTGTGACACATACTACAAATACAAAGACAATGATGAAAGCTTCCACTGTGAATTGACTTTGGACTAGCAGTTTTATCGAATTGTGGAAGCCCTCAGTATTGTAGCTGGTGGCACCAGAAGAGCTAAAGTCTATTGGAACCTATTGGCTAGACAGTGGAAATTATTGCACTTCACACTTTGTCTTTGAAAAAGCTCGTTTAATGAGATTACAGCGAGGTGTGGCTCTACACGAAACCTTCTGAGGTAAAATGATATTATTATATATTATTATACAGCGAAGAAGATAAAACATGTCCTGCTCTACTGCTTTACACTGAAGTACACACATTCACTCCAGGTGTCGTCTCTCGCCTTTCTTGATCTGCTGATCTTTATCTCTGTTAGAGCAACGAAATGGAGGCTGTCTCCATTTTGGTTACCCTGGACATGAGAAACAATAAAAACTTCACAAAGTGGCACAACAAAAAGAGCATGCACAACAAGCGCTGTTCTGTAAAAATGTGTTTGAGTGGCAATACAGTAGTTGAAAAAAGATAATACCTTTTTATTTGTTTTGGAGGAATCTGAAAGTCTTGGTTGAGACTCTGAAAAACAGAAAGAAAACCTAACTACCATGCTATGTTCAACGAATACATGCTATAGATACAAACAGTACCACTAACCTGTACAAAGGCGGCTGTTTCTCTTGTTCATCATGCAAACTAAGAAAGCCAAGAAAACACTCAAGATGGTGAATAAAGCTCCATTCCAGAAATACACCAAAACAAGAGGGTCCACCTCTGCAGAGAGACAGAGCAGCATATTTTTACTCTGTGATCATCTTATGTTTGTTTGATTAGGGAGGAATCGCAAAAATTTCAGATGAAACAACTGCTACTGGAAAGTTACTCACCTTCAAAGTCCAGTTTGGTCCCATTTCCAAACAGTATGTGTCCACATGAGGCAACAGCACAGTAGTAGGTCCCAGCATGAGAAGGATTCAGACACTTCAATGGCAAGTTGTAGACACAGGTGTGTGTTTGTGTGCTGGAATTCCTCTCACACTGATCGTTCCTGCCTCCATGGGTGTAAATGAGTCCTGGATGAGATTCTTCAGAGTTTTTGAACCAGTAAACACTGTGTTCTCCATCACAGGTCCCAGTGTGTACTGTACAGTTCAGAGTCACAGAGCCTCCTGGCTGGATGGGCTCAGATGCTGACTGAAGGACTGAAGCTGGGACTTTCAAACCTGAAGCCTTTACACTGACAGTAGTGCCCTCTGCAAACTCAAAAATAAATGTATAGCTACTTGCACAGTAGTAAGTAGCTGCGTCTGATACACGTAAATTTGAGATCTTTAAGTGATTTTGACCTGTTTCAGTATCCAGTGTGAAGCGTGGATTGTTCTTGAATTCATCATGAAAAGTTCCATTTTTATCGTACTTGTAGAAAGTAGAGATGAGCCTTGGTTTCTGTCCCAGAGTTTGTTTATACCAGTAAAGCCTAGCTGCATCACCTTCATAGAAACATTGCAAAGTAACCTCATCACCAACATAAACTGATACAAAACCACTCGTTTGGCGCACAGATGAGGACACTTTCAGTTCAGTTGTCTTCGCTGAAATAAAATGACACAAACCAAATGCATAATTAATTTCTTAAATAGAAAATATATTATAATGAACACATTTACAAATGATTTGAGCTAATGTCATAAAAGGGACCATGCACTCGAAAAGATACAAATTTGAACCACAAAATCACAACTCACCCACTTTCCCCAAGAACAGACATGTGAGATAGAACACAAACATAGCAGGTGTCATCGTGCTCAAACTGCCGCATGGAAGGAAAAACCTCCTGATGCTCTCTCCACTCTTAAAGGACAAGACTGTATTTGATTGGCCAATCAGAAATGACACTATACTCTATGCCCCATACTGTAGGAAACATGATCACATGTTCACTTCCACCTACATTGTACATATACAGTGAGATGAGCCTTGGTTTCTGTCCAAGAATTCGTTCATACCAGTAAAACATCACCGCATCATTTTCATGCATGACAAATAAAACGAATATGAGAGGGGTCATGATTTTCAGACTCTTTTGTTGAAGATTATCTTTATCTTTTCTCCACTCATTAGAGACAACACTGCATTTGACTGCCAAAAAAAGGTGAAACCTAATGTCCTATTAAGGGAACATGATCATGTACTATAACCACATACATCCTCACCTCTGTAACAACACGTACTCACATCGATCTCAGTGATAGCGACATGCTCACTGCACTTATACTGTCAAGTTTAACTCTTGAAAAAATAAATAACCACAGACACCCTCACTTATGTTATGAAATGTATTCACACTGATCTCAGTGAGATGGACTCACTTTAAAGGGCATTATTTTTAGTCATATTTGTCAGATTTCTTCAATTAATAATTAATAATCTGATAAAAGACTAAGTCATGATGAGAGCTAAAACTTTCTCTTATCGGAAGCAAAGTCTGTTTGAAGTCACCTCCTACCAGACCTATGAGGCCCCCTTCACTGAACTTAAATGAACAGAACTGTAAATCTCTCAGCTATATTTTCCTGGTTTCATATGATACCAGATTTGTTAATACCCCATATAAATACTACATACATATGTTCATTGAAGTTGAGCTAACTAAATTAGTTTGATCACATAAAGATCACAAATTATTTAATTATTATTTAATTATTAATTATTATTATTATTATTATTATTATTATTATTATTATTAGTAGTAGTAGTAGTAGTAGTAGTAGTAGTAGTAGTATCTATTTATATAATTGCAATGCCACTGATACTTTACTGATTGATACACTGACTACTGCTGCCCTGCATTTTGTCACTTCATCAAACTACACTTGTTTGCTATAGTCCTGCACTGTATTTCTGTCCTGGGGCCTCATTACAGAAGCATTTCCTAACTGTGTGCCTTTAGTGGTTTCAAAGAAATAAAAAAATCCAAATGAATCGTCTTGACAGACGTAGTTTTAATAGTTTTGAACGTAATTAATAATTAATTACTTATTATTAATAGCCATTCCTACATGGTCCAGGATTAAATTTAAGGCGCCATCATAGAAATTAACTAGACATTCAATCATAACATTTGGTGTTTATGTTCTCTTACATCTTTACTGTAATTGTCATACAGACCAGTGGTGCTTCTTGGCAGTTACAGGACAGGGTCCATGCCATCCTAACACGGGATTCCAAACGCAGGACGTTCTAAGATAAGATAGGATTTTTCCCTTAATGCAGTTGGAAACGTGTTTCGGTAATACCAAAAATAATAAATGCTGTCCTAAACTGAGATAAGATATCATTTCAGACGTTTCTGTAATGAGGCTCCTGCACTGTTACGCTGTATTTATGTCACAATCCTGTGGCCTGTACTATGAAGCGAGGTAACTGACTTATCCAGGTAACTTCAAGAGTAACATTGTAACGTCGGGTGTAACTTCCAGACTAACCCGCACTGCAAAAGGTGGATAGGTGTCACCCGACATCTGTTGCCATGGCAATTTACACTGCATCTTTAAACTGCTCCGAGCAGGGTTACATTTACATTTACTCATTTGGCAGACGCTTTTATCCAAAGTGACTTACATTTGAGGAACAACATACAAGCATAACAAAAAGTGCAATCAATACAAGACAATTGTAGGGGTTACCCTGTATATACGGACTACAGAGCTCATCTGTACTCAGTGTTAATGAGAAGAAGCAGGATATTATTACACACCATTTTATAAAATATTTTTAGATTTTATCCTGACTTTTTCCACTGCGGTTGCAGCTGAAATGACGTTATTCTTAACACAACAGTTACGTTCATACAGCGAGCTCTGCAACCTCTGTGATTTTAGAGAGATCTTAATTAATTAACGGGCCAGTTTCTTAGATGTAGCCCATCTGTAGGCTATAATTGTTGAGTTTTCACATATTTAGATTGACTATTTTAAAGAAAAAAGCACAATTTGTTTAAAAAACGTTCTGAAATATAGCTTGCACTTAAATGACAAATAAAATTACCTTTAGAAAGGTTTATTTTCACATTAAGAAAACATGCAATGCAATTAAAATATAGAAGAAACATATGTGCATTTCCAAAAAAAGTAACACAAGCTACTGATTATAAAATGACCCAAAAACGTGCATGCACCAATCAGTAGCCTAACTTTAAGAACTTCTTGCCAGAGTTTCTTTTGGGCCAGGTTCCGTTCTCTCTCTGTGAACATGACAAAAGAGGAGCCTACATACTGTATGTGTTGCCTCAGCAGGGATGATATTATATGTAAAAAGTTGATCTACAGTAGAAAAAGATCTAACAGCAACACCGAGTGCCTGACAGCTGCACTGACTTGGATTCTATTATTTATATATTTTAAAATGCATTGAGGATATCTTAAAAAAAATCTTTTAAAATGTTTTCGTCTCATTCTCGTGAACCTAATATCATGTCCTGGTGTCTGTCAAAACTGCAAAAAGGTTTGGGTGACTTTACATATATTTGCTAGGGCTGTCATTTGAAAAACAATTTGTTTATTGGAACCTCTGCCCTCGTAGCCTAATCATAAACTATGTTGTAGAATGATTGATTGTCTCTTCCTTTGCTGACTCCACTGCTCACTAAATGATAAGGTAGAAGGTGATCGGATAAGTTGTGAAATTTTTACCAGTAAGTTTTTTTTTCAAAGGCAGCAAACCTTTATCCATCATGTACTTCATATGTTGTCATTAGAAGAGCCTCTTCAGTTTGTTTGTTAGATGGTTTATTACACAGTAAAGCATTACATTAAACATTTTTAGATAAAATAATGTTGAGAAAACTGTTCCTGCTCTTGTAAAAGCCAAATTACAAATGACACTTAACGCACAAAAGACACAGTAAAAGGTCATGTCCTGTTACACAGAGAAAAAAGATGAAACATTTTTAGCTTTATTGCTTCACTCTGGAGTACACACACTCTTCTTGTGTGTCGTCCCTCTGTCTTCTGTCTCCTCTGCTGGCCTTTTTTATTCTTAAAGCAGCGTAATGGAGATCATCCTCATTTTTGTAACCCTAGCAATTACATATAAAACAATAAATCACAATATTGTACATAAATAAAAACAAATCCAACAGAAATTGTTATGATAGAATATATATATTAAAATTGTAATATAACTGTCAATCTAGACAGATGATACCTCTGCATTTGTTGTGGAAAAAGCTGAAAATCTTGCATGAGATTCTGAAAAAGATTTTTAAAGCTGTGACTTTATTATGACATATGTGTTCAGTTAATATGCACAGTGGATACAGACAGTAGCATTTACCTCCACATTGGCAGCTGTTTCTCTTACTGTACAGTAAAAAAGCCAGTAAAAAATTCAGGATGGTGGTGAATATCAAACCGCCACTTAGGAAATACACCAAGACAAGAGAGATTTTATCACCTGCAGAGACAGACACCAGAAGGCATTACAAAGAAGTGTTTTTTTTTTTTACTTTATCTTCACCTTATTTGGAGAGTAATATTTATAAGATAAACTTCAGTTACTAAAGTAAAGTAAAATAAATTTACTTACGCTCAATGTCCAGTTTGGTCCCATTTCCAAACAGTATGTGTCCACATGAGGCAACAGCACAGTAGTAGGTCCCAGCATGAGAAAGATTCAGGCTCTCCAGTGGCAAGTTGTAGACACAGGTGTGTGTTTGTGTGTTGGAATTCCTCTCACACTGATCGTTCCTGCCTCCATGGGTGTAAATGAGCACTGGATGAGATTCTTCAGAGTTTTTGAACCAGTAAACACTGTGTTCTCCATCACAGGTCCCAGTGTGTACTGTACAGTTCAGAGTCACAGAGCCTCCTGGCTGGAGGGGCTCAGATGCTGACTGAAGGACCAAAGCTGGGACGGTCAAACCTGAACTCTTTACACTGACAGTAGTGACCTCTGCCAATTCAAATTTGTGTGATTGACTCCTCACACAATAGTAAGTAGCTGAGTCTGATACACGTGAATCTGAGATATTTAAGTGATTTTTACCATTGCCAGTATGCAATGTGAAGCGTGGATTGTTCTTAAAATCATCATAAAAAACGCCAATTGTATCAAACACGTAGAAGCTAGAGATGAGCCTTGGTTTCTGTCGCAGAACTTGTTTATACCAGGAAAGCCATGTCCCAACATTAACTTCATAAGAACAATGTAAAGTCAACTTGTCTCCTGCTTTAACTGATAAAAATCCACTTGCTTGACTCTGAGACAAAGACAGTTTTAGTTCAGTCATCGGAGCTGAAGTGAAATGAGAGATGAAGCAAATACAGTGTTAGTTTCATGCGATAGAATTCAGTGTAATCATTACTTTAGATCATTACAACAGAAACAACAGTATGAGCAGTGAGAATACAGTGCATTAAAAGATAAAAACTGGAGTCATAGAAACACAACTCACCCTTCTCCACCAAGAACAAACATGTCAGGTAGAAAACAAACTTTGGAGATGTCATCGTGTTCAAATTGCTGTGCAGAATGAGCAAATACTAATAGTTTCTCCACTCATCACAGACAAGACTGTGTTTGATTGGCCAGCCTGAATCAATACTGTATGACCTAAAGGAAACATGTTCACATGATCACTGCAACCCTTTAGTGTCAAGTTTGGGCTTTGAGAAGACTCACATGGTGAGAGCTTTATGAAAACTATCCTTAGATTTAAAATAGCTAAAAAATATATTATCTGTGTATCAAATAGAAGCACCAGTACCAGAGCACAGTAGGACTCCATTTATGCCCAACATTCAGAAACTGACTGGTTGCCATAGTTTACACCACATAATGACATAAACTGAAAGGATTAGCATTAGCTGCTGGTTAGAACTCCATAGTTTTTATAAGTTTTTAAGTGCCTTAAGGTGGATCTGTGTGAGAGTGCACCTTTAACCACTACTGAAACCACAATGAACTCTGCACTGGCAGAGATACAGCGCAACAAGACTAAGAGTCTACAGACATGCTAGCAGCTCTTTGAGGCTGTGCATAGATGTATACATGGACACTGCTGTTCATTGCAGCAATGTGTCAATGCAGCTGCCATATTGGTACAAGGAAACCATCATGCCTACTAACGCTTAATGTCTATCAAGGCAGGTCTATCCGCAATTAAAATCATCATAACTAATTTCAATTCAGTTAAATGATACTTAAATGGATCCTTGGTTAAATGATGTGCATTTTGATACCAAAGTAATTCAGGTGGGTGGGAGATGTGAAACTCTTTCATTACAACATAGTCTGCAGCTCACGGTAGAGACACAGAGCACTCTCACTCCTGCCTGCGAGAGGAGAGGGGGAGACACTACAGTCGATGCTGATATTACTGAGCAGCATGCAGAGAAAAAACTTTGCCTACAATATAAAAGAATTTTGAACATTTCTCACTTCCTCTTGATGGTCTGACATGCTCAATTTGTCACTAGTCACTTTTTGGAAATGAAGTTGCTGAGTGCCTGATAAAGATAGACAGTGGACCAAACCACTGTGAGGCATGTGAGGGGGGAGGATATCATCTTTCAAAACTTAAAAATGCACTGGACTTTAGTTTAGTTGAGAACGTATTTGTGTTCCAAATACATTGACAAGACACTGACTCCACAACACTAGTGGGTATATTTAAATTCTTGGATCAACATTATTGCTAGAGATAACTCAGTAGTCGCTAGAAACCGACAGGGACAAATTCTACGCACTTCACCTAATATTATGTTAGCGTAAAAGAAGAATTACTTAATGTAATATGTCCATTTCAGTGCAGTCCTGTTAACAATAAAATACTGTAAAATAGCATCTTGTGTGAAATGTTATTACCTGTTGCTTCGTTTAGGCATTTCTTTCATTAAAACATCCAAAAGAAGCTAAAAAGTCTCACATTTCCTACTATTTGAACAGTGATGCATCTCACAAGCCAGCTGTGTATCTACGTGCATGTGGAGGCTGTGCTTTGGCCTACCAGCTGACTTCAGTATGCTAACATGCTCACAATGACAATGCTAGCATGCTTGTGTTTAGCAGGTATAAAGTTGATAATGTTACCACCTTAGTTTAGTATGTTAGCTTGATAACATTAGCAAATTATTAGTGACTACAAAGTAGTTAGCTAAGCCTCATTTTTTCAGGTTCTCCTTTAGAACAGAGACCTGAAATAAAAAACACTATAGTCACTACTGAACACACACACACATATATTTTTTAAGATCAATGTACTCTAAATATATTTGTTTATTTGATCAGTAACAAATTAACATAAAATGTGCAGACAAAAAAACATAGCTTACATGATTTGGTTCAAAACCAGCATAAAAAGACAATCTTGATCCTAAAAGCACACGAGTGGCTTCTACGGCATCAATGTTTCTGGGCTTCTAAATAAACTGATTAAGTCAAATAACTGAATAAAAATAACCTTATAATTGGTGATACATGGTCACCCTGCCTCAAAATGTCAACATGCCTCAAAATCAGGTACTGCTTTTTTGTTGTTTGTTTTCAGTTTAATTTCATCCCAGTTAACATTTGCAGCAGGCAACATGTAAGATCCATTAACAATCACTACAATTGTACTACTCGCGGAATAACTGCAGTTAATCTGATCTCCATCCCATTAAATGTTCCACATCCTTCACTAAGAAAGATTATATGGGAAAAAATCAATATGGCACTCAATGTTTGATCACTTAGCAATAAGACTTTATCAACAAACTCATATCTAAACATAAACTTGACTACATGTCTTCAACAGAAACCTGGTTAGTGAGCAGCAGGTCTGTTAATAGTGACAGACCTGCTGCTCCTATTGAGATGTTCCCTTTTTATAGGGCATAGGGAAAAAAGACAGTGGGACTGCCTTTATGTTTGCTGACAACCTAAACTGTAGAATAATCCACAGTAGTGATTTTTGCTTCTTTTTTCACCTTAACACCTTTTTTAAGGCTGTGTTTAATTGTTTAGAAGATGAAGTGCCAGCGATTGTAAGTCTGCTGTATTTTCCCAATGGAAATAAAAACTACAATTGTGAAACCTCTCCTAAATAGAAATAACCTTGATCTGTAAGTGCTGAACAGTTACAGACAATTTTCAAACCTCTATTTTCTAAGAAAAAGTTCTTGAGGAGGAGCGATACTGTGGAACACCAAAAATCTACTTACTTCTTGACCCTGATGTCAATTTTGAATCTCACATTAGCAGTTTCACTAAAACTGCATTTATCATGTTAGAAATATTGCTAAAGCGCAACAGTTTTTCTCCGAGGCAGATACTGAGCGACGTATGCATGTTTTTACCACTAGCAGGCTTGATTACTGAAATGTTTTTGTTTCTGGTGTACCTACAGCGACATTATTTCCTTATATGACCATTTATTTTCACCGTATTATTGTATTATTTTCATTGTACTACTGCATTTTATTGTTTTGTTAAGCACTTTGTCTTGCAATTTTGCATGAAAGACTATATTAAAAAAGTTCAAGTTTATTTTGGTTGCAGACCACAAATAAGCTTTTAAAAGCATATCTACCTCAAACTTTAATCTACATTAAACTTTTAAGGAGGCACTAAGAAAATCCTGTCTTAGTACAAATGTAATATATCACGTTCTACTGCTTTACGCTGTAGTACACACATTCAGTCCAGGTTTGATCCCTCTGTCTTCTGCATCTGTTGGGCAGCTTAACACTTGAAGCAGCGTAACAGAGGTTGTCTGCATATTGGTAACCCTGGTACCAAAACATAAATATAAATATATAATATATATATATATATCAGTTGATCATTAATTTTTTTCTTCACAGAAATTAAAACAATATCCAGGAAACACTGCACTGTGCAATAAAATTGTGACTGACTGATAATTTAACAGTTAGTTACAGTAGGAAGTTTTTATTCACCTCTGCTGCTGTGGAGGGAGCTGAAGTTCTTGTTTGAGACACTGGTTGTGGAACAAAGAAAAGGCTCTTTTAGAATTCATGTTCATTGAATACAAGTTGTCAGATACAAACAGTGCCAGTTTACAGAGTGGCCAAAGGGAGAGATCGTTCCCATGTTTTGATAATGTGTCCACATGACGATCATTATACTTTGTTTCTACTCCTGGGCTCTGCACCAGTTACCTTTTCTGGTCATCATGCACACTGAGAAAGCCAGTAAAACTACCAGGATGGAGGTGAATGCAGAAGCTCCACTCGCGAGAAACACCAAGTCAACCTCATCTGCAAAGACACATCAGAAATAGCACATAAAGCATGTTTTCTGTTTTCATCATAAGTTTGAAGTAGCAATGGATAGACTACGTATCAGATGCAACAACTTCTGTTAGAAAGTTACTTACCTTCAATGTCCAGCTTGGTCCCGTTTCCAAACAGTATGTGTCCACATGAGGCAACAGCACAGTAGTAGGTCCCAGCATGAGACAGATCCAGGCTCTCCAGTGGCAAGTTGTAGACACAGGTGTGTGTTTGTGTGTTGGAATTCCTCTCACACTGATCGTTCCTGCCTCCATGGGTGTAAATGAGTCCTAGATGAGATTCTTCAGAGTTTTTGAACCAGTAAACACTGTGTTCTCCATCACAGGTCCCAGTGTGTACTGTACAGTTCAGAGTCACAGAGCCTCCTGGCTGGATGGGCTCAGATGCTGACTGATGGACCAAAACTGGGACGTTCAAACCTGAACCCTTTACACTGACAATAACACTCTCCGAAAATTGTAATGTATATGAATAATTAATGCAGTAGTAAGTAGCTGAATCTGAAATGCGTAAATCTGTGATCATCAAGTTGTTTTTACCGTTTTCAGTCTCCAGTGTGAAGCGTGGATTGTTCTTGAATTCATCATAAAAAGTGTGATTTCTTTCATACTTGTAAAAGCTAGAGATGGCCCTCGGTTTCTGTCCCAGAGTGTGTTTATACCAGTAAAGCCTTGCAGGAACAGAACCCTCACCGGAACATTGCAAAGTCAACTTGTCCCCAGTTTTAACTGAAACAAAACCACTCTCTTGAGGAACAGATGAGGACCATTTCAGATTAGTAGTCTGAGCTGAAGTGAAAAGAGAAAGAGATAAATAAATAAGTAAATGTAGAGTTAATGTAAGGTGAACTCAGCGGAATCTGTATAATATAAAACTATCAGAAACAGATGTATGAGGTGTGGTCATAAAGTTTGACAAATAAAAATTGGAGTCACAAAAATAATAACTTACTCATTTTTCCCAAGAACAAACATGTGAGACAGAGAGCCAACACTGGAGATGTCATTGTGTTCAAACTGCTGCGTTGAATGAAAGAATTTTGAAGGTTTCTCCACTCTTAAGAGACAAGAATGCATTTGATTGGCCAACCCTGAAGTGACACTGTATGTCCTGTATAGGAAACATGATCACATGCTCCCTGACACCTGTGGTGTCAAGTTTGGTTTTTCAGAAAGTGTTCACATTTTGAGAGATTGTTTTTATTAATAAGGGCTAATTAAATACAACCCATATCATGTTATTGATAAGAATATATAGGCAACAAAACCTTTAGAATAAATTTACATAGTGTTCTGACTCTTCTGAGAAAGGTGTAGTGAACAACGGTGTGGATTTGTGCATTTTACATGGAATAAATGTGGAGCTACCCTAAATTCCTTTCTCCTCCCCAGAGAAGATGGGGAGGGGTCAAAGTTGCTTTCTCTAAGTGCTATCCCGACCATAAAACTGGCACCTTTTTGATTCCGAAGCTGATAACGCGGGGCCTGACTGTTAAACTGACAAAGGGACACGAGCCAGCCATTGGCATCTCCCTGAACAGCCTATCAAAACGGCCCCCCCACACACGTTTCCGTGGCAACTGACCTTATTCTTTGTTTTATTACCACATCAAAAAGGAAAACCCCTGTCTCACCCAAGTGTGACATGGTCCAGACACTGAACTTTGGATGACAGAGGACTGCAGTCTCCAAATACTCAAAGCATTTAATTAAGTTAATTAAATCTTTAGTTGCCTGAATACGTTTGCCTCTATTTGAGTAGTTATGTTGACTGTTGTTTTTATCTGTTGTTGATATTAGTGCTGAAAAGAAGTTACTTGTGCAGTGTTTTTATTTTCAGCAAGGCACTCCTTCATCTAATGTAATCCAAGCTTTCCTCATGTAACCTGAGCTCCCCCAAGTGGGCGAAATAAGTATTACATGCCCTCGTCGGAAATGCCGTTAAATGTATAAATATCCTGGCCACTAATGTGACAATTGTTTCTTGTTACCAAATGCTTAGAACAGTACAACCGTTCAACCATTGAGGTTCGATTGTGGAAAATATTTGATTATAATACGTGCAAATAGATTTCTTTTCTTTAGACATTAAGTTTAGAAAGGCAGTCCCTTGGGGAAACCTGAGACGCCCCCTGGGGAACCACGCCCCAGGCAACAAAAGAGCGACACGCGACCTGCTCGCTCTCTCTTCTTCTCTCTCTTCGCTGCTCTTCCACCCTGCTCGGCCCTCTGGACGTTTCGGCACGAGCAGCGTGCCTCGCCAGGCAACGCCCAGACTCGGCCAGCGAAACAAACAGGCCCTTTTGTTCGCTTGAAGCTACACACCTGAAGTGCCGCGACATCGATCTGCCTTCAGTTTGTTTTATTTTCTTTATTTCTTTTGTTTGTTAAAGTTATCAGTCCGTTAAGTTACACTGGACTAATTCAGGAACGACCAAGTTCCATTTTAAGCCTTTTTCGTCGAGCCAACTTCACCGAGGTCAGACCAAGCCACGTGGTCTCGCCAGCTACAACGAAGGAAACCTGCAAACAGCCGAATTGCCAGACGGAGGAGGTGTTTTCAATCAGACACGGAGAACCCCGGAGAATCCCTAGCAAAAAGCCAGGATCGGGCAGCTAGCGTGGGACCCGTGCAACAGGCCAAAAGCAGGCTGTCGACAAGCAGTAAGACTTAACACACGTCCTGTGATCAGATGTCCATTTTAACTCCTAAATTATAGCATTAGTTTACTTTCATTAGTTCTTCTATGCCGTATGAGTCAAATGCTTCCCACAATCGAACCTCCAGGCTCATTGTTCAGCAAATGTTTATGTTCCCTGTATCCAACCATCTTTTTATCACCTTAGTTAGAGAATAAATTCACTGTAATATAATCAAGAGCTGTGTGTGTTGCCTATTTATAGTTCCTGCCAAGAGAATTGACCCTTTAGATATGAGACTGACTGACTGATTTAAGATAATTGAGCGATTATTAACTAACTGATCACTAGTAATAATTGTATAATTATTCAAAACTACCTAGAGGTCCGGAGACTCTAGGATTATAACAACTCCGGTGGTGCCCTTAACGAGGAAATTTTGATTTTATGAATTTTAATTCATAATTGGGTATCAATTCTCATAAACAGCCCAGTGACATCATTCATTTTCACTCTGCTGCTGATATAAAGAGGCACAATGCTGGACAGGTACTAGAGGAGGAGCCTAAAAGTCTACAAGAGTTCAATTCATTTTCAGATTTTCTAGACATAGCTAATTAGAGCATACAATTAGAGTTAAAGGGATACTTTGTGATTCTAATCCAATACACTTTTTGTTAAATTAAGCGAATTTCGGTCGCTAGCTCTCCCTTTTTTGTATGCTCTGAAAAAAATCAGGTTTTCCTACACAGCTCTGGGTCTGTAAATGGAACACAAACAATGCTTTTTGGAGCGAGCAACAGGTGGCGGTAGCACGCTCGTGCTTTAAGCAGCGGGAGAGAGAACGTAAACAAACACCGACATATTCAAACATGCTCAACTCATCTCGGGACTCTCGCTGTGGAGATGGCTGAGAACAGCCAAAGAGGGAAAGGTCTGAGGAATTGTCAAACAAGTTATATGACCAGGCGAGGGTTAACATCTGTGAGGTGTTTCGATGCTGGATAAATTTGGTTTGTAAGACATGAAAACCGACAGGGAGGTTGCTCTGATTCTGGACAGGTTAGTAACGTTAAACAACAGGGTCAGTATTACTGTCTTGTCTCTCTGTTCTCATGTCTGTGATGATCCCAGCTGGTTAGCTTTGTTAGCTTTGCCGCAGCAGTCAGTGTGCGTGTGTGGTGGAGGAGGAATAGGTGTGTAAATAGGTCAGCAATAAGCCTTGTTTAGCAGTAAATGTACAGTATGAGTTACAGTGGCCTTTACAGTGACTTCTCAAGACTAAAGTACAGCTCCCGTGTGTTGCTTGCCTACTGTTGAATAAAGAGTGAAGGAGGTTAGCCCCAAAGACAGCACTGACTTTGGCCCTGAAGAAAAACAGTCCCAGTGCTTACCAACTCTTGTCAGTCACTGTATTTTTGTAAAAACTATTTTAAATAACTCGCTAGTTTTTTTACTCTGTTGTGTTTTGGATGCTGTGTTTGTGTCTTTACATGTCCCTGTTTGATGATGTTTGCTCACTAATTGCAACTGTTGCAGAGCTGCCAACTCTCACGCACAAGTTTGTGATTGGGTAACATAGCTGGTAGAGTTTTGCAATATGTAATGTATAATAGTAGGAGTTAAAACTATGAAGATATGTAAAATGTCACAGGTATCCTTTCTACTTGTTTCAATCAATGACAGAGACCACCTGCGACACTCCATCATTTAAAATGAACAGTAACATTGCAACTTTCATGCATATTGAATCTTTAATGACAAAATACAAATATGAAAGTACATACAGATGTGAGTTAAGTTCACAACATACTTAATTCTCAAATATCATAAGTCACTTGTGTAGCATCAATAAATGTGACCTTCTAAATGTACTGTTTTATATCAGAAAGACAATTTTGTAAATAGTAATAAAAATAATGGACAGATTTTAGATAGTTTCTTAGTAAGTCAACAATCATGACAAAAAGAGAAAAAGGCTCTAATTGTGCACATTATCTAACCTTATTGAAGCTTAGAGATATTGTCTTTTGACTGCACACAGATGATAGAAAAAGATCATTTACCTTAAAACTTAAATTAATAGCCGAGTCCCAAATAGCCGCCTAGGGTATAGTTAGGTACCCCCTTTACTGGCCTGGTGTGGGAACACATTTTGACAAATAAACACCTGCCTCAATTAAACGTCTGGTCTGGTTTTGGTAGAAGTTCTTTGGATGTAGCTGCTTCTAAGCAGATCGTTAATAGGCTATAAATATTAATGTTTAAACATATGATCAGTATCTCAATATGGACATGCTGAACATTGTTAGATCTGTCAGATTCTCCACAATACCACTGTTATGTTCATTTAACGGAAACAACAAGACCCAAAGTCTAATTATTCTAGATCTACCGTATCTGTAACCTGCATGGCTACAAGAGAGGAAAAGGGGGAAAAAGTGCTGACTCACGTTAATTTTGTGTGCTCGTTAAGTCTGAATGTGTCAGTTCCTTTATTATTTATATTCCTTTAGTCTGTAAAGGTCCACCGACCAAAAGAATCAAAACAGCTTTTCATAAAAATTAATCCAAGTTGTGAATCCTGTCATGTGAAGTCCACCGCCCTCGGTCTGCTAACTTCTCTCATCCTGCACCTGTTGTTGTTTTCATTAGGTTGCTGCCTTCAAAATAAAAGCGCATAAGCCATCTGTCGGAGCTAGATCAAATGAATGACGTGTATTTGATATTTGATCATTTTTACATAAGTGTTCTGTTTGAAATAAATAAACTATTTCATAGTAGTTTCAGTTTTGTGCAAAAAGAATTAAAGGCCTGTCCCATATGGACACCTGTCCCAAATAAAGGCAGGGCCAATTTAGTGATTTTAGCAAATAAAAGCCCAGGCTATTATTCAAAGTTTTACGGTATATCAACATGTACATCGAAATCAACATTACTCTTTGAAAGAATAGTAAATAATCCATTTTTACCTAAAATGTCTACACATGTCCGGTTCTACTTCTTGACAGTGGAGTACACACATTCACTCTTGGTGTCGTTCCTCTGTCTTCTTGATCTCTTGGGCAGGTTAACACTGATAGCTGCATAATGGAGGTTGTCGGCTTCTCTGTAACTCTGTTAACAAAATATTTGAAAATATATCGCATTATGGACCCTGTCAAAATTTAAACCAATGTCCAAAAAAAAAACAAATTAAATGTTGTACAATAATGTGTTTCGAAATTCACAAGTTAGTTTAAAGACAAAACTCTTACCTCAACTTCAGTTGTGGAGAGAGCTGAAAATCTTGCTTTAAACTCTGGTTGTCAAACAGAAAAAGCTCTTAATTTTAAAAGCCATGTTCAGTGGACACAGGCACATTCAAATAGTGTTAGTTACTTTACCTGTAGATCGGAAACTGTTTCTTTTGTTCATTCTGTACACTAAGACTGCCAGTAAAACCAACAGGACGATGGTGAATGCCAAAGCTCCACTCAAGAAATACACCGAGGCAAGAGAGTCCACCTCATCTGAAGAGCGCCAGACATCAGAAAATATCTTTCAGCTTTTATCTCTGTGTTTGTGTTAATTTTGATTAGGGAGTAATGACGTATTTATCACATGAGACCACCCTTGTTAGAAAGTTACTTACCTTCAAAGTCCAGCTTGGTCCCGTTTCCAAACAGTATGTGTCCACATGAGGCAACAGCACAGTAGTAGGTCCCAGCATGAGAAAGATTCAGGCTCTCCAGTGGCAAGTTGTAGACACAGGTGTGTGTTTGTGTGTTGGATTTCCTCTCACACTGATCGTTCCTGCCTCCATGGGTGTAAATGAGTCCTGGATGAGATTCTTCAGAGTTTTTGAACCAGTAAACACTGTGTTCTCCATCACAGGTCTCAGTGTGTACTGTACAGTTCAGAGTCACAGAGCCTCCTGGCTGGAGGGGCTCAGATGCTGACTGATGGACCGAAACTGGGACGTTCAAACCTGAAGCCTTTACACTGACAAAAGTTTCCGCTATAGATTTGTGTGATTTACTATTCACACAGTAGTAAGTTGCTGAGTCTGAAATGTGTAAATGTGAAATTATCAAGTGGTATTCACCATTGCCAGTATGCAGTGTGAAACGTGGATTGTTCTCAAATTCATCATGAAAAGTGGCTTTTGTATCAAAAACATTGAAACTAGAGATGAGCCTTGGTGTCTGTCCCAGAGCTTGTTTGTACCAGTAAAACCTTCCTGGAACATCATTGTCATAAGAACATTGTAAAGTCAACTTGTCTCCTGTTTTAAATGATAAGATACCACTCTCTTGATGCTGAGACGAAGACAATTTCAGTTCAGTCATCAGAGCTGAAGTGAAATGAAAGACAAAGCAAATACATAGTTACCTTTATGCGATACAATTCAGCGCAATCATTACTTTAGAAACATCTGCATGAGCAGTTACCATACAGTACATTAAGGTAAAAACTGGAGTCATAAAAACACAACTCACCCTTCTTCACCAAGAACAAACATGTCAGGTAGAAAACAAACTTTGGAGATGTCATCGTGTTCAAATTGCTGTGAAGAATGAACGAATACTAATAGTTTCTCCACTCATCACAGACAAGACTGTGTTTGATTGGCCAGCCTGAAACAACACTGTATGACCTAATAGGAAAAATGATCACATGCTCACAGCAACCAATAGTCTCAAGTTTGTTTGTTGAGAAGATTCACATGGTGAGAGCTTTATGAAAACTATCCTGGCCTAAAAATCTGTAAATCAATTAGAAACACCAAGACCAGAGCACAATAGAACTCCATTTATGCCCAACATTCAAAAATTGACTGGTTGGCATTATGTCAAACTGATACAGACCCATACACAATTATGAGCAGGTCACTAGAGCTGATACCACATAATGACATAAATCAAAAGGATAAGCATTAGCTGCTGGTTAGAACTCCATAGTTTGAATGTTTAGGTGGCTTAAGGTGCATCTGTGTGCGAGTGCAAATACCTTTACCCACTTCTGAAACCACAAAGAACTCTGCACTGGCAGAGATAAAATACAACAAGACTAAGAGTCTACACCCATGCAAGCAGCTTTTTGACACTGAGCATAGATGTACACATGGGCACTGCTGTTCATTGTGTCAATGTGCCATATTGGTATGGGAAAACTGTGCCTGCTAATGCTATATGTGTCTATCAAGGCAGAATAGGATCAATATTATTGCTAGGGACAGTCAATTGACATTATTAGCATAAAATAAGGCTTATTGTAATGTATCAAATTCAATGCTGTTTTGTTAACAGTAACTACCGAAAAATAAGTTAAGATAAGATAAAACAATTACATTCACCAATACATTCACAGAACCCAATAATTACAGAAGTTTTACAGATAAAAAACTGAATCACTTATGAGTTTATCAAAGCAATTCTGCAAGGGATAAAATAATTTTTAAAAAGGATGTGAAGGATCCCCCACAATTTGCTTTGCTTTCCGCCTGCAGTGCAGCACATATAACTCACTCAGCTGTCTCTGTGGTTTACATATGTTTTTTTCAGCCATATTCACAATACTAGTCAATTTGGACCTTTTCTTAGCCCCAACAATACCATGATATGTTGTACGTGAGAACACTCTCCACAAGATTTCTGTAGACCAGCTCTAGGGTATTTTCGCTTACAGAGAAGCTGTTCAACTTCCTCAACAAATATATATGATGCATAGTCTTTCGGAGTTTACTTTAAAACTCAATCTGCTGTCAAGTAGGGTGCCTAAGTACTTAAACTCCTCCACCATGTCAACAGGACATTAATGTCTACTGTGTTTAGGCAGAGTGGGATGTTGTTACTGCAGATAACCAACTCTTTAGTTTTACTGGTTTGAACACCAGCTCATTAATTCACCTATAACTAAAATATGCTCTCTCCCCACCCTTCTCTTCTTCAGGCACTAAGCCAACCAAAGCCATATCCTCTGCGTACTAATAGGAAGTGGAGTCCTGGATCTGCATCTCGTTGGTAGAGATGGCAAACAGTACGTGTGATAGGACACAGCCCTGGGGTGCACCTGCATTTACAACAAGTTGCTCTGAACTAAAGACACTCTCTCGGGCTGTTGGGAAAGAAAGTCCTTAATCCATAAAATATTTGTGAAATGTTTTTCCCTGTGGCTTTTTAAGCATTTCTTTCATTGAAACATCCAAAAAGAGCTCAAAATTCTCACATGCAGGCTGTGGTATCAACATGCATATGCAGATGGAGGCTGTGCTTTGTCCTACATGCTAACGTCAGCATGCTAGCATGCTGTTGGTTAGCAGGTACAATGTTAATAATGTTCACCAATAATGTTCACCACCATGTTTAGTATGTTAGCTTGATAACATTAGCAAATTACCAGTAAGCACAAAGTATTTAGCTAAGCCTCATTTATTCAGTAAGTCTCATTGACATCAAGTTCTCCTTTAGAACAGACCTGAAATATAGGTAGATAAATACAACAACACCACACTACAGTCAAGGCTGTTGTTTTCAACCAGCACACACATATTGTTTCAAGCACAATGTGCTGCAAATGTATTTGTTTATTTGATCATTAATGACATCAAATGCACATATAACAACACATTTCATCTGGTTTCTCACCTTCTAAATATACTGGTTAAATCACAGAAAATAAACAAGCACAAAAATAACCTATTTATTTCAGATAAATGGTTTATGTCACCATCCCTCAAAATCAAGTATCCCTGTGCCCAGTTTTATTAATCAAAACATCTTCAGTTGTTTGTTTTCAGTTAAATTTAATCCCAGTTAACATTTGGAAGTGGCGCCTCCTTCCCGATCTGGTGGCCCAGATCCGGCTCCGGTTAGGCATGGCAGAGGTGAATCTGTTTGCCAACCGGGAAAACACGTTCCTCAAGCTACTCGTGGACAGGGGTCTGGCATTCAGCACGGTTAAAACCTACGCTGCCACCACCTCGTCCTGTCACAAGGGTTTCAGTGACAGGACGGTGTTCGCTCACCCCCTGGTGAAGCGTTTTCTGAAAGGGGTGCGGAGGCAGTGGGATTTGGCGCTGGTCTTACATACGCAAACCGAAGCCCAGAGACGGCGGACCTGAAGTTTCTTTTGGCCAAGGTCGCCTTTCTTGTGGCTCTGACATCGGCCAAGAGGGTCAGTGATCTGGCTGCCCTCTCTATGGCTCCGTCGTGTCTCAGGATTCAGGGTGACGGCAGCTTGACTGTCCTGTGCCCCAACCCTGCCAAAGAGCTTCACCAGCTCTTTCAGTCGTGGGTGATTACTCTCTGGGCTTCTCCCCCCTGTGTATTCAGCTATGACAATCTGACCACTAGTCTGTTGAGTTGTGATAGAGAGAGACTGAGAGCATCTGTTCACACTGATTTCAGTAACGGATAGCATAGCTACAATATGATATACCACCACTGGCACACCATCGGGCCTGTCGTTGCCGGGACCCCGAGTCGCCCCTGCCCTGGCAGGCGTCCCTTATTTTTCTGTATTGAAGGTGGCAACCCTAAGCTAAACATTGGCTGACTGGGGTGGGTGGGTTGTAACACTTCTTTAAAAAGTGTCACAACCATCCACTATACATAAAACTAGGGCCTTTCTTGATTTTAATATTTTACATAGTGCCCTTTGCAGTCTGGGCCCACCAAGCCTGCACTCCAGGGTTACCGGCATTCATTTGTCAGCACTGTGCTCTGTCTCTGCCAGTGGAGAGGGCAGAGAAGTGTACGGGCAGCTTGTGTCCCATTACGGCAAAGAGTAAAATATAGCAGTGCTGGTACTGCGTACCGGTGAGTACCGGCCCACTTCAAGCACTGTATGTGACTCTGATTAAGAATACAAACACAGACACATTGACACATTTTTTTTAGATCTAAGGATGTACAAAGATGTTCATTAATTAAGTACAATGTAATAGTATTTATTAAGTATACGTTTAAGTAAGTTTATTCTATAGATAAATTTACATACACATACTGTACATGCACGCGAGTCATCAGACAGTCTGTTACAGTGAGAGAGAAACATTGTTCTTTTATGTCACTACCTGTTTTTGAAGAATATCATATAATGTGGCATCTATTTTTGCTTCTTTTTTTTATTGTTACAACTTACCCCAGCATGTGGGAAGACAATGGGAACGCAATGCATTTGACATCAACTCACGAGCTCTATGATATTCTATTCTTGAGGATTGAATTGGTGCCATTTGTAGTGAACAAATGTGGGTACTTTGTATAAAAGTTTGATAGTTGCTGAAGCAAAGTGTTACAACCATACCCCAACCTGAGAACATTTTGCAAGCATGTCTATGCCTGTTGTTGCTAATTTGCAACATACCTGAATTTATATCTTTTCTATTCCATAGACAAATTAACAATTTCCACATAATTTAGCATCAGCTTGAAAGCTAATTTACAACAAAAATAATACATTTTCTTATATACTTGTAAATAAATTTAGGCATCAAGGGCTTAATGGGTTAAACCACCTAGCACAAAATGCCATACCCCTAGAAAAAATTCTTGGCATGCATCTAGACCCCAATTTCAATTTTGAATGTCACATCAGCAGTTTCACTAAACCTTTTATCACCTTAGGCTAAAGTGCAACTGTTTCTCTTCCAGGCAGATACTAAGGGACTTAAGCATGCTTTTATCACTAGCAGGATTGATTACTGCAATTTTCTCCTTTCTTGTTTACCTAAGAAAGCTGTGAATAAGTTACAAATCATTCAGAATGCAGCAGCACATGTGCTGACTAACAACAGAAGAAGAGCAACTTATTAATACTTATTTTACCATTTATTATCACTGCATTATTGTTGCATTTCAGTGTATATAAGTACATTGTATTACAATTTTGTACGAAAGGCCCTATATAAATGAAGTCTGATCAGAATGGTTGTATTTACAAGAAACAAAGTAACATTGTGGGGATTTCCTGCTTCAAAAAAAGTATCATATTCCAAGTATCCAATAGCAAAGCAATTTTATTTTGGCTGCAGACCACAAATAAGCTATAAAAGCATTTTTGCTCAAACTTCAACACATATCTTCTACATTTCATCTCAAATGAGGCGCACAAAGACAATCCAGTCTTAGCACAAATATAATATATCACGTTCTACTGCTTTATGCTGTAGTACACACATTCAGTCCAGGTTTTATTCGTCCCTCTTCTTGATCTGTTGGGCAGCTTCACACTTGAAGTAGCATAAGCGAGGTTGTCTGCATATTGGCAACCCTGGTAACAAATATATCAGTTGATCATTAATTTTTTCTTGGCAGAAATTAAAGCAACATCCAGGAAACATTGCACTGTGCAACAAAATTGTGACTGACTGATAATTAAAAGTCAGTTTACAGTTAGTTTTTATTCACCTCTGCTGCTATGGAGGGATCTGAAGCTCCTGTTTGGGACTCTGGTTGTGGAACAAAGACAAGGCACTTTTAAAATCCATTTTCAGGGAATAGAAGACCTCATATACAAACAGTGCAAGTTTACAGAGATCTGGAGTGGCCACAGAGAGAGACTGTTCCCACGTTTTGATAGACTATAATTTGTTATAATTTTGATAAATTTTGTATTTATATATATACAAAAGCCTGCCCTTGTTCATCAGAGTAGTGTTGTGTAATGGAAAATGTTATTTCTGACTTTAAGTTAACAGTTTGAGTCAAGCACAGAGGCTGTTTTTTTTGTCATTGTATTTGATTGACATTATTCTTTTTTTCTTTATATTGTAGTGAACAACGGTGTGGATTTGTGCATTTTACATTGAATAAATTTGGAGCTACCCTAAATTCCTTTCTCCTCCCCAGAGAAGAAGGGGAGGGGTCAAAGTTGCTTTCTCTAAGTGCTAGCCCGACCATAAAACTGGTCGGAAATACCGTTAAATGTATAAATATCCTGACCAATAATGTGACAATTGTTTCCTGTTACCAAATGCCTAGAACAGTACAACCGTTCAACCATTGAGGTTCGATTGTGGAAAATATTTGATTATAATACGTGAAAATAGATTTCTTTTCTTTAGACATTAAGTTTAGAAAGGCAGTCCCTTGGGAAACCTGAGGGGAACCAGGCCCTAGGCAACAAAAGAGCGACACGCGACCTCGCGCGCTCTCTTCTCTTTGCTGTTGGCTCTTCCACCCTGCTCGGCTCTCTGAACGCTTCGGCATGCGCGTGGCGTGCCTCCCCAGGCAACGCCCTCAGTCGACCAGCGAAACAGGCCCTTTTGTTTCGCCTGAAGCTACACACCTGAAGTGCCGCGACATCGATCTGCCTTCAGTTTGTTTTAGTTTCTTTATTTCTTTTGTTTGTTAAAGTTATCAGTCCGTTAAGTTACACTGGACTAATTCAGGAACGACCAAGTTCCATTTTAAGCCTTTTTCGTCGAGCCAACTTCACCGAGGTCAGACCAAGCCACGTGGTCTCACCAGCTACAACGAAGGAAACCTGAAAACAGCCGAATTGCCAGACGGAGGAGGTGTTTTCAATCAGACACGGAGAACCCTGGAGAATCCCTAACAAAAAGCCAGGATCGGCAGCTAGCGTGGGACCCGTGCAACAGGCCAAAAGCAGGCTGTCGACAAGCAGTAAGACTTAACACACGTTCTGTGATCAGATGTCCATTTTAACTCCTAAATTATCAAGTCATCGAGTCAAATGCTTCCCACAACCGAACCTCCGGCTCATCATTCAGCAAACAGAGAATAAAGTCACTGTAATATAATCAAGAGCTGTGTGTGTTGCCTATTTCTAGTTCCTGCCAAGAGAATTGACCCTTTAGATATGAGACTGACTGACTGATTTAAGATAATTGAGCGATTATTAACTAACTGATCACTAGTAATAATTGTATAATTATTCAAAACTACCTAGAGGTCCGGAGACTCTAGGATTATAACAACTCCGGTGATGCCCTTTACGAGGAATGAAATAAAATTAAATAAAAAGATTTTATGAATCTTAAAAATTCATAATTGGGTATCAATTCTTATAAATTTATTAAAATGCATAACTAATAAATTTAGGTCTGCTACAATATAGTGACTCCAGGGCTCCGTACCAGTTACCTGTTGATTGGCAGCCTTTTCTGTTGTTCATCATGCACACTGAGAAAGCCAGTAAAACAGCCAGGATGGAGGTGAACGCAGAAGCTCCACTCAAGAGAAACACCAAGTCAACCTCATCTGAAGAGAGACATCAGAAACACCACTTTCAGAATGTTTTCTGTTTTCATCTGAAATTTAAATGATTAGACAGTTTATCAGATGCTAAAACTTTTGCTATGAAGTTACTTTAATTAATTTATTATTAATTAGTCATTTAGCTTTTATCCAAAGAGACCTACAATTACTATGTGTGTCGTACGCCTGGAGCTACTCTGAGTTAAGTGTCTTGCTCAGGGACACAATGGTGGACATGTGGCAGTGGGAATCGAACCCAGGTCTCCCACATCAAAGGCATGTACTTAATCCACTTTCCAATCAACACCACTCACCTTCAATTTCCAGCTTGGTCCCGTTTCCAAACAGTATGTGTCCACATGAGGCAACAGCACAGTAGTAGGTCCCAGCATGAGAAGGATTCAGGCTCTCCAGTGGCAAGTTGTAGACACAGGTGTGTGTTTGTGTGCTGGAATTCCTCTCACACTGATCGTTCCTGCCTCCATGGGTGTAAATGAGTCCTGGATGAGATTCTTCAGAGTTTTTGAACCAGTAAACACTGTGTTCTCCATCACAGGTCCCAGTGTGTACTGTACAGTTCAGAGTCACAGAGCCTCCTGGCTGGATGGGCTCAGATGCTGACTGATGGACCAAAGCTGGTATGTTAAAACCTGAACCCTTTACATTAACAGTAGTGCCCTCTGCAAAAGTAAAGACAAATGTATGGCTAGCTCCGCAGTAGTAAGTAGCTGAGTCTGAAATGTCCAAATCAAATATTGTCAAGTTATTTGTACTGTTTTTAGTATCCAGTGTGAAGCGTGGATTGTTGAATTCATGATAAAAAGTGGCTTTTGTTTCAAACACATAGAAGGTAGACATGAGCCTTGGTTTCTGTCCCAGAGTTTGCTTATACCAGTAAAGCCATGCTGAATTAAGACCTTTATAGAAACATTGCAGAGTCACATTTTCTCCAATATCAGCTGATACAAAACGTGTCTTTTGATGAATAGATGAGGAGACTTTCTGATCTGTCATCTGAGCTGAAGTGAAATGAAAGACAAAGGCGATGCACAGTTAATTAAATCTGATGAATTTATTGTAATTGATATATTAAAATTAGAAGCATTTCCATGAAGCATTGCTATAAAGTAAAAGCTGCTGGAGCCATAAAGCTTACCACAAACGAACATGTCAGACAGAAAACAATCTTTAGAGATGTCATCATGTTCATATTCTCATGTTGAATGAAAATAATCTCAATACTTTCTCCACTCTAAAGAGATAAGACTGTTTGATTGGGACACTTCTCCTTCTTAGGAAACATGATCACATGTTCAGACGGTAAGAGATATATGAAGAAAACAATGGCTCTTCATCTTGGTATTATATTAATGAATTGCAATATTTATCAAACACATAGAAGTTAGAGGTGAGACTTGTTTTTTGTCCTGGTTTGTTTATACCAATGAAGCCATGCTGAAACATAAACTTAAAAACACATTGCATATTCATTCGGGCTCCAACTTCAATAGATACAAAAAACACTTGCTTGATGCTGGGATAAAGACAATACAGTTCAGTCATCAGAGCTGAAGTGAAATGAGAGACAAACCAAATGTAATCATTACTTTAGAAACATCTGTATGAGCAGTCACCATACAGTACAGTAAAAGTTAAAAACTGGAGTCATAAAAACACAACTCACCCTTCTTCACCAAGAACAAACATGTCAGGTAAAACACAAACTTTGGAGATGTCATCGTGTTCAAATTGCTGTGCAGAATGAACAAATACTAATAGTTTCTCCACTCATCACAGACAAGACTGTGTTTGATTGGCCAGCCTCAAACAACACTGTATGACCTAATAGGAAACATGATCACATGCTCACAGCAACCAATAGTCTCAAGTTTGTTTTTTGAGAAGATTCACATGGTGTGAGAGACATTCGTCACATTAAGCAAATTTCAGGGACCGCCTTTTTTCACCTACGTAATATTGCGAAAATCAGGAACATCCTGTCTAAAAATGATGCAGAAAAACTTGTCCATGCATTTGTTACTTCTAGGCTGGATTACTGCAATTCCCAATTATCAGGCTGCTCGAAAAAGTCCATTAAGACTCTTCAGCTGATCCAGAATGCTGCAGCACGTGTTCTGACAGGAACCAGGAAAAGAGATCATATTTCTCCTGTTTTAGCTTCTTTGCATTGGCTTCCAGTAAAATCCAGAATAGAATTTAAAATCATTCTTCTTACCCACAAAGCTCTTAATGGTCAGGCACCATCTTATCTTAAAGAGCTCATAGTACCTTACTACCCCACCAGAGCACTGCGCTCCCAGAATGCAGGGTTACTTGTGGTTCCTAGAGTCTCCAAAAGTAGACTAGGAGCCAGAGCGTTCAGCTATCAAGCTCCTCTCCTGTGGAACCAGGTTCCAGTTTGGGTTCAGGAGGCAGACACCATCTCCACATTTAAGAGTAGGCTTAAGACTTTCCTCTTTGATAAAGCTTATAGTTAGGGCTGGCTCAGGTAGTCCTGAACCATCCCTTAGTTATGCTGCTATAGGCCTAGACTGCCGGGGGATTTCCCATGATGCACTGAGCTCCTCTCTCCTCTACTTTCTCTCCCTCTGTATGCAACCTCATCCTATTAATGCATGTTACTAACTTGACTTCTCCCCTTTCCGGTAGTCTTGTGCTTTCTCGTCCCTCTCCTCTCTCCTATCACTTCCTGCAGGTTTTCTGGCTCTGGAGCTGTGGAGTCTGGAGCTGTGGTTGTGGGTCACCTGCTCCATGTACCTGCTCGACACCTTCTACTACAATTATTGTTACTAGTCCTATTGTTATTATTATTATTATCTTTAACATTATGATTATTATCATAATAATCGTCATATTTGTTATCATAGTAAATACAAATACAGTAACACGAGACAACTTACCCATTCTTCCCAAGAACAGATAAATCAGATACAGAGCAAACCCCAGAGGTGTCATCGTGTTCATTTCGCCGTGCTGAATGAATCGAATCTCAATACGTTCTCCGCTCTATAGAGAGAAGACTCTGTTTGATTGGCTAACAAGAAGCAACACCTAGAATCCTGATTTGGAAACAATGAACACACGTTCAGTGCTGCTTTAAATGCATTGCATTAAGCAAGACCTGCAAGCTTAAACAGGTCTTCTGAGAGACGCTGATGGGAATTCTTTTTCATTAAACACATTTAATGAGGCTTTAACATGTTCAGTCAGAATGTGGCAATATCAAGACTCACTTATTAGACTTTGTTACTTACACTTAAATAACTAACTAATGTTCTGTAAATGGTTGGTGTGTGTAAAAAGAAGTCGTTAGGGTGCTTTTGTGATTGCTATACACCTTGCCTACAAATCAGCTGTGACTATTAAAGGAACATTTTGTCTTCCTTCAACCTTCCATGCATCAGAAATGGTGTGCTGTGTCTATAATATCTACAATTCTTGTGAAACATGTTGTCAGTGCCAGCACAGACAGAATGACTGTGTGAGAACAAAAGCTGGTCAGAAAATCTTTTCAAAGATAAATCAAATGAAATAACCAGTGCCAACAGGAAGAAGGTGGAGGTGCTGTAACCTAATAGTATGCTCATGTTACATCAGCAAGTTAAACAATATATTTTTGTGTTATTATTAGTTTATATGACGAAAGTCACTGGTAACAGTAAGAAGTTATGTATGACGTGATGTTCATTGCCTCACCTGCTCCTACCCAAACACATCATGGCCACTGTTTTGTTTATAAAGTCAACGGAATGACTACAAAACTACATGGCTAAAGTACACTAAGAGCTGATCTATGACTGTCGACCACACAGAGGCTAAAAAAAGAACACCTCTGGAGCACAATGAGCTCATTTACAATAAGAGAAGGCCGGCTCTGATGTCTCTGAGCAAATCAACACTGTCTCTCTTTCTCTCAACTACCACAGCCCACAGTCAGTTATGTGTGGTTCTGTGTTTGTACATTGTTAACTACAAGTATGGTGAGAGTGGAAATACAACACCTAGCTTACATCAAAGAGACCTCAGTTAACGGAAGCTGAAGGAAGATGTTTAATAAAAATACTTAAGCCTTGGGTGGTGATGGGGCAGTGGATAAGGCACATGCCTTTGGTGTGAGAGACCCAGGTTCAACCTGTGTCCATGAGCAAGACACTTAACCCTTAGTTTCTCCAGAGGCGTGCGGCTTCTGACATATTTAGTAATTGTAAGTCGCTTTGGATAAAACCATCAGCTAAATTAATAAATGGAATGTAATTAATGATTTGCAAGGTAAATATACATTCATTACATGGAGGTGACATCTGACAAACTTGTTTCTTCTAGTAAGAGAGAACAAATGAAACATGTCTGTTCTACTGCCTTACACTAGAGTACACACATTCACTGTCGCCTCCCTGTCTTCTTGGTGTGTTGTCCTTGTTAAAGCAGCATAATAGATGTTGTCTGCACCTAGGTAGCCCTGGGAATAAAACAAAAAGGGGTTAGTTGTGAAATGAGTATATGTCTCATGACTGATATTGACAAGTATTTCTTCAAATTTGATTAGAAAGTATCCCTTACTATTTAACAAATGACCTCATATTTGCTAGAATGGAAGTCCAGCTTGGTCCCGTTTCAAAACGGTATGTGTCCACATGAGGCAACAGCACAGCTGAAGGTCCCATTGTGAGAAAGATTCAGGCTCTTCAATGGCAAGCTGTAGACACAGGTGTGTGTTTGTGTGTTGGGTATCCTCTCACACTGATCGTTCCTGCCTCCATGGGTGTAAATGAGTCCTGGATGAGATTCTTCAGAGTTTTTGAACCAGTAAACACTGTGTTCTCCATCACAGGTCCCAGTGTGTACTGTACAGTTCAGAGTCACAGAGCCTCCTGGCTGGATGGGCTCAGATGCTGACTGATGGAAAAAGCTGGGATGTTCAAACCTAAACCCTTTATGTTGACAATATTTCCCACTTCAAATTTGTGTAATTTACTACTCACACAGAAGTAAGTTGCTGAATCTGAAATGTGTAAATGTATTGATACTTTTAGCTACTTACTTATTTAGTCTGCCCTCTATTGTCTGCCACGCTTTTTCTTTTTGTTTTAATACTGCGGCCGTGTTTCTTTAATTTTTTTTATATTATGTGCATTTTTTCATCATAAACCTTCTTTACACACAGTGAGTAACAGCAATTAAAGAATGCTGCACACGTCTTTTCCATTTCAGCATCAATGAATCTGTGATCGACCGTGTGGTCTCTTGAAGAAAGTTGTTGATGCGCATTTATCTGAATTACTTACACCTGGCTTGACATAGTCGCACCTTCTGAGCCTGGTTAGGCCTTTGTGAAACTGATAAAGCCAGGATGATCACACTAGGTCAAGCCTAGCTTTATCTCTTTTGGATTTCTAAATTCCGCTTTTGTGAAACAGCTGTCGGGTGCCAGCAATAGCAATACTGTTAAGATGTAGGCCTCAAATGAAACACTGTGTTCTGTTCTGCATCTAAAAACACATTTTTATATATATTTAAGGTATAAAACCACAGTACAAACAATTAGATACTTTATTTAAAATTGCTAACTGTTAGGTTACATACATGTTAAGGGCAACTAGCACCTCCTTGTGCTTCCTTTAAGACTGCTGTCAGCTGAATGTCATTGCTGTATTGGTTAATTGTGATCACATGGGTAGGGTCATAGTTCAGACCAGCCATTTTGGATTAGTTTGCTCTTAGTTTCACAGAGTTGTTGAAAAACACTGTAAGAAAGCAAGTTGATGAAGACAAACAAGTAAATCGCCATCAACTTTACTTCCATGTCTCCTCATCATTTAACCCTTTCAGTGTTCAAGACATCTGTTTAGCTATCTGTCACCTTGTGTAAAGCCACACAAGCAGTGGACAGAATACTAACTTTGCATTGTCCTGAGTAAACAGGACACTGTTTAAGATGCTTTCAGTGCCATATTCAAAAGTCCATTCACCTCCAATGTTACAGACTCACAAAACCAATGGTTTTGGTAAGTTGAAGTAAGCTGAAGGACAGATAAGCCTTTGTACTGCATGTGAAATTTGTCCTCACTAGGATACTTTCCTATGTTTAGGTTTATCAGTATATTACTGTATATATCCATGTCAACTGCTGCATTGTCTCTGGGTTCTGGCATAATTTCTGACAAATAAATTCTCTCATCTCTGTGGCTGTTCTGGGCATTGGCCATCCACAAACCTTTTTTTCAGGTTCCTTGCATCTGGTTGGAGTCCCTGTTTGGAGACTATGTGTCCCAGAAAGGTCACTTGTGTTTGAGCAAGCTGGCACTTCCTGGCTTTCAACTTGAGACCAGCTGAGCGAAACTGGCCGAACACTTCCTCAAGGCTCTGTAGGTGATCTGAAAAAGAGCGTCTGAACACAAGGACATCATCCAGATAAATTAAACAGTCCTTCTTCCCGCACAAGCTCCATCAACCTCTGAAACATTGTGGCGTTGGTCAAGCCCATAGGCATAACCTTGAACTACAGCTTTCCTCAATGATGTCTTGTGACAAAAAGCTCCTGAATCTGCCTGTCAATCTCTTCTCTGATGTTTGGTGAAGTCCTGTATGCTCTCTGTTTGATAGGTGGAGCATCTGCTGTCTTGATGCTGTGTCTGACTATGCTAGTGCGTCCATAGTCTTGGTCATTAGCACAAAAAATGTCACTGCAGGACAGTAGCAAAGCCTCAAGCTGTTGTCTCTGTTTGTCAGTAAGTGCTTACCTGTTGAAGTCAACATGGTAACAACTGTTGAGGAGAGGGTTTGTCATCGTAGTAACGGCGGCTACACCTGCTTCCACTATAGAGTAGTCGTCCTGACTCTGTGCCCAGTGGATGAAAATCTCCTAGCCTAGTGTCACATGGAACATGCAGGTCAGCATTGGTTGGTTTTCAGTAATTTGATGTAAGTGAGACCTGCCTGTACTGGTGTGTGCTGCTATCAGGCCCTGAAAACTAGGTGGACCTGGCTCTAATATACCTGAACCTTAGCTAAAACAGTCATCTGTGACAGGCAGGGACAATGACTGGAGAGAAGGTGACAGCGTTACAGCTCAGGGGAGCAGTCTCATTAGCACGGAGGAGAGCGAGTGTGGTACGATTCCCTATCTTTAAGACACCTTCCCTCAAATCAAGAACTGCATGATGTGCGAGAAGTCCCAACCCACAATCACTGGTTGTGTACTGTCCCCAATGACAGACAACACATAGCGTGTGGGTTTTTTGTGTGAAGGTGGTAACACCTGTCATGGGGCCTCAACACCATTAGTAGCAGACGATCAGCATCTGCTACCGGTCTTCATCAAAACTCACATAATGGCCCCTTTCCCTACATGGTGGTTGTCTGTCCCTAGCAGTGTGGCGTTGATGCAAGTCATGCCGTGTCTATCTGCATCAGAAGAGGGAGAGTAAGAGGTCTGTCTGTAGGAGTCATGGTGGTGTAGATGTCTTGAGACAAACCTGTCAGGGGAGGACCGCCTGTCTGTAATGCCTGAAATGATCCTGACTGTAGGCAGAATGATGGTCACATGGATGATGTGGAGAAGATGGAGGAGTGAGTGAGTAGTGCCTGTCACAATGAACAGGAGAGTATCTTGGATGGAGGTGATCACTGTGTGACCTCCTGGATCTCTGATGGTCGGTAGTAGAGGAAGTAAACATTATGCTCAGGAGACACAGATGGGGGACATGCGCTTATTACTCAGTTCACTTGGAGGGTCGTACTTAGAAAAGCCAGCATGTGGAGCACGGTGACTGGCAGAAAGGCTATGATTTTTGTCCCAGCTGAGTAACTTCAAGCCTGTACGGCAAACCTGTACCCCATAAAAACTATTTTACAGAGCAAAGAATGTTAACTTCACTTTGCACTTAAGCATATGTATTCCACTAAGACCTGAATACCAGTTATCACTGTGCACACAACAAAATCCGTCAGGGCCAACACCCTGTTCATTTTCTGCCAGCCAGCCAGGTGTAATGATATGTAGTGGTATAGGTTGAATACCGACCTCTGTGCAGGGGGATCTACCAAGGAAAGTGTTGGCGCACATCTTGCAGGGTAAGGCTGCAGACAATCATGCTACAATCTTTTATGTAATTTGTGGCATTAATCATGCAATTAAACTTTTGTTCCCTGATCTGCCTCTTACCATCCAATATAACAAGTCCTCCAAATTTAACTAAAAAGACATTGTCCAAAAACAGTAGGGCTAGAATACATCGTACTTCTCCTTTCAACCTCTCTTGGTAGGGATTGTAACTATTACAAAGACCCCAGGAACAGCGTTTGACCATATCTTTGAAAAAACAGAACAAAACAAAACTCATTTTGCAAACGAGTCATCGGAGCACTGTAATGGGAATTCCAAACATATTGCATGTAACCCTGGACTCAGGGAGACTCATCTGATATTTGGGGCACTGAATCTGTGTAAACGTAACAGTCAAAATATCTCTGTTCTCTGTGGTATCCAGACTTCAGGGACAATGTGTCTCTGTGGGATGATAAGATTGACCCTAAAGCTGGATAAATAACAGGCTCACGGAGCTCTCCTCACTCATGTGAGCATACATGTACACGGCGTATGTGTTTTGCTGTGAGTCCTTCTCCAGAAGACGAATAAAATTCACAGAAAGACAAGTGTTTGCCTGAGCTGTTTATTTAAACCCGCAATTCCCACCACGGGAAATTCGGAGCGTGGCTTAGAGAAGGGTGAATTGTATGAGATGCAACAGCGAATTGTTTCGTCTGACATCCTGCGTGCACTTCTGTCATTCTCTGCGTAGCCTATACGGTGGCAAAGTGTTTGTCACAATACTGCGTTTTTTTGCAAAACAAAACAGTTTACTTCCGCCTGCTTTGGTAAATAAAATCTGGATACTTAACTGTAATTTTTGTAGGCAAATGTGAGACATGTCTGCTGTGAGATTGCTGACTTATGACAATGTTTTGCCGGAAACAGTGATGATTGGTGAAAATTGCAAGTTGTGTTGAATTCAGGGGGATTTGTTGAATTTGTTGAAATAGGATTGCCACATTGCAAAATCTTGGAGGGACAAGTTAGACAGCTTCGTCACTCGAACAAAACCATATGTGGGGTGGTGATGGCGCAATGGATAAGACACATGCCTTATCTAAGATAAGATAAGAAAACTTTATTGTCTGACACAAGTGACAGAAATTTGTCTTTGACAAGACAGGCTCAAAAGACATAAAAACACATATAAAACATAGATACACTGAAGACAATTTAGCCACATTATTTGTACAGATGTGCAGAATACAAAAATGTTCCATATGTGATTGTTCAATGTAGTAATGGCCGTGGGAATGAAGGATTTTTTATATATGTTTTTCCTTGCAAGTGGGACTCTGTAGCATCGACCTGATGGCATTAACTGAAAGGATTGGTTAAGTGGGTGGGTGGGATCCTGAGAGACCCGGGTTCAATCCCCCACTGTGACCCATCCACCATTGTGTCCCTGAGCAAGACACTTAACCCCTAGTTGCTCCAGAGGTGTGCGACCTCTGACATATACAGCAATTGTAAGTCGCTTTGGATAAAAGCGTCAGCTAAAATGAATAAAAGTAAAATATGTCATTTTGGGGCACTCGCTCAAACAACTGATGCCCTTGTTGTTTTTTAGGACAGTCTCCAAAATACGTACCCGTCTAACATAAAGTTAGATAACGATGTTACACCAGCGGCTGCTGCACCATGCAAGAGTGTGTGTTGATCAGTGATGGAGGAAGTATTCAGATTCTTAAAGTAGTAATACTCCCTTACAAGTAAAAGTTATGCATTGAAAATGTTCCTAAAGTCTCAAAAGTAAAGGTAGGCTACGACTAAGTTAGACAGACTTCATTCTAATCTGAATAGAAGCACTACTACTACTACTACTAGAACCTCATTTTTGTATATATTTTGATGGTTAACACACATTTTCTTTGTAGATCTCAAGACATAAAGCTCATAATCAAAACCTTTTGGCATACAGAGACACCCTGCAGTGACTGTATGACACTGATAAATGACATCCTGTGGTTTAAGGGTAATGAATCATTATTTATTAGATTAACATCAAACTCTATACTTTTGTGAAATGCACACATTTGATTTTTTGATTTTAACCACCTGGAAGCTGAATCATCAACACCAATATAAAGCAGCTTATTTAATAAAATATGATCAACATTAAAAGCCTCAGACAGATCTACACTGACTGCTGCAAAATCTTGCCTTTTATCAAGCAATTTAAGAATGTCATCCACAACAACAATTATTTTAATAATGGCCAGGTCTCCTGACCTCTTTGGATTAAGGACAGTATGGGCAGGTATTGTGAGCTAACCAGTGATTCTTCTAAGAGAGAGAAGAGTGTGGATGTAGGTCGATAGTTGTTGAGGTCAAAAGAATCACTACTGTTGTGTAACTGAGCTGTTTTCCATATTACAGGAGTTTACCAGAGGTAAAAGTTGAACCAAAGTATGCACAAGTCAAGCCTAGGTACTGCATGTTAGATTTGTCCTCACCAGGAGACTTTTCTATGTTTATGTTTCTCAGTGTATCACTGTATATACCCTGAGCATTTAACATTATTGAAGGAAACACAGTTGTAATGGTGGGGTAGCCAAGCCCGATCCCTTCACCCTGCTTTGCAACATGCTCAATACACAGCACACTTGACTAAGAACTGATCGATTCTCAGTGTGTATACAAAAACGCAAGCAAGCAGTGGATGGAGAATTCTGGTTTGAGCAAGTAGACCTGCAGCAAAATGTTGGTATTCTCGATTACAGAGTCAAAGTACCCCACTTCTATACTGGTAAAGGCTTAAATGAATGTGGTAAGGGTCAGACTAGGCCTATGAACACTTCAGGCAGCTGTAAACCACGTGCAACATTTGGTAGACAGAACTCAATAGCATAGTGGACTTTATGTTTGGTTTGCTTCACTAATTTTAGTGTAGGTACTGACTCAGCTGTCTGGTCATCAACATGGACATATGTACTCTCGGATTCAGTATTGAAGCTCCTTAAATAAAATCCTTCCTGTTGACTTAAACAAAAGTCTGATGCACCACGCCTACTCCCGCTCTGTACTTTCAGCCTCACTACATAAAGGGCACACTTCTTCTTGCACTGGGACTGAATGTGGGCACTGGGAGTACATTGGAGGAGCAAAATCATTCAATAAAAGCATTTTTCCTGGGAGTACTGGGCTTTTTCTTACACACAGAATATACATATAAATCTGCATTAGGTCTACACTTGAAATGCCACAAAATCAATTTTATTGAAAACAGAAATGTAACATGTTCAGTTCATCTGCTTCACACTGGAGTACACACACTCACTGTTGGTGTTATTCCTCTGTCTTCTTGATCTGTTGGGCAGGTTAACATTTAAAGCAGCATAATGGAGGCTGTCTGCATCTTGGTAACCCTGGTAACAAAATATGTAAAACTGGATTACGATATTGGTTCTTAGAGACATTTTTAAAAAAGCAACAAAAAAAGTGGTTGATTTGCATAAAAAAGGTGTTTTCATAGTAATTAATGGATTATTAAGTTAAATTTCACCTCCGCAGTTGTTGTGGCAGGAGTCGACAATCTTGCTTGAGACTCTGGTTGTAAAACAAAGAAAAATCTTTTTTATTTGAAACTTTTATTTAGTGAGTAAAAGCTATCAGATACAAACTGTAACACTTACCTGTACATTGGCAGTTGTTTTTCTTAATTATCTTGTACACTAAGATAACCAGTAGAACAATCAGGATGGTAGTGAATATCAAAGCTCCACTCAAGAAATACACCAAGACAAGAGAATCCACCTGATCTGCAGATTCAGACATCAGAAACAGAGCTTTCAGCTTTTACCTCTGTGGTCACCCAAAGCTTGATTGGAATGTAACAGATAGGACAACCTCCGCTGGAAAGTTACTTACCTTCAAAGTCCAGTTTGGTCCCGTTTCCAAACAGTATGTGTCCACATGAGGCAACAGCACAGTAGTAGGTCCCAGCATGAGAAGGATTCAGGCTCTTCAATGGCAAATTGTAGACACAGGTGTGTGTTTGTGTGCTGGAATTCCTCTCACACTGATCGTTCCTGCCTCCATGGGTGTAAATGAGTCCTGGATGAGATTCTTCAGAGTTTTTGAACCAGTAAACACTGTGTTCTCCATCACAGGTCCCAGTGTGTACTGTACAGTTCAGAGTCACAGAGCCTCCTGGCTGGATGGGCTCAGATGCTGACTGATGGACCAAAGCTGGGACTTTCAAACCTGAACTCTTTATATTAACAGTAGTGCCTTCCGCAAAAGTCAAGACAAATGTATATGCATAGCTAGCTCCGCAGTAGTAAGTAGCTGAGTCTGAAATGTCCAAATCAAATATTGTCAAGTGATTTGTACTGTTTTTAGTATCCAGTGTGAAGCGTGGATTGTTGAATTCATGATAAAAAGTGGCTTTTGTTTCATACACATAGAAGGTAGACATGAGCCTTGGTTTCTGTCCCAGACTTTGCTTATACCAGTAAAGCCATGCTGAATCATCACTTTCATAGAAACATTGCAGAGTAAAATTTTCTCCAACATTAGCTGATACTAAACGTCTCTTTTGATGAATAGATGAGGAGACTTTCTGATCTGTCATATGAGCTGAAGTGAAATGAAAGACAAAGTAAATTAATCAAATCTGATTGAATTCACTGTAATTAATATAAGGTATATTACAAGCATTTCCATGAAGCGTTGCTATAAAGTAAAAGTGAAGCTGCTGGAGCCATAAAAACAAAACTCACCCATTTTCCCCACGAACAAACATATCAGACAGAAAACAAACTTTGGAGATCTCATCATGTTCAAATTGTTATGTAGAATGAAAATGATCTCGATTCTTTCTCCACTCACACTTAAGAGACAAGACTGTGTTTGATTGGCCAACCTGATGTGACACTATGTCCTCCTTAGGAAACATGATCACATGTTCACTGCCACCTATAGTGTCAAGTTTGGTTCTTGAGAAGATTCACATGTTGAGAGGTACAGTGTATGATGAAAACAATGGCTTCATCTTGGTATCATATTCAAAATTAGGGAACAAGAATTTATAGATATATACAGATCATGTTCATAGTTCAGTTAGAATTTTGAACTAAATTCATAATCCTTAAAAAATATTACCTGTTTATTTCTTCACAAAATGAGAGTTTGACTTGAGTGGAGGAACTCTGCGGCTGTTGGCTCGTGGTCTTACCCTTTGTTAATGATCTCTTATCGTCATTATTCACTCAGTGTGTCTCGTAGGAGTTGACAGCACTCACATGATTAATTATTTGAAAATGGATATGGTCAGTTCACCCTTCACCGAAAACATGAGCATGTTCAATAAATGCACTGTTTAGCGTGATAATGACCTTCATGCATTTTGGCAATATTTGGCAATGGAACATTATGTCCAACAGAAAAATACCATGCAGGTACCTACCTGTCAAACAACAAGTGCATTATAGCAGTGTAAGTGGAAAAGTATGGGTTTGGAACATTTTGATGAACTGAACCATGAAAATTAAAGTTTAAAAAACTTAAAATCACCTTAGAGCTTAGATCTTCGACCTTACTTGTACTACACTTGAAAATCTCATGTTTCATGCCCTATGCAACTAGTGTATTCCACCCACTGTTTTTGTTGTTGTAAGTAGTACTCTAAACAGCATTTCAATTAAGTAGTTCTACTAATATTAGTATTTGAATTACTAGTATTAGTGTTAGTATTAGCCTTTGCTATGTGATCAAATATGACACAATAATAACTCCCCTGTGTTTGGATGTTTTAGTGGTCCTTAGCTTAAGGTAAAGTATGTGGGAGTTTCATCACCTCTACATCCTGCTGAAAACCACAGTAGCTGCTGCACTGAGAGAGACACAAAGCAAAAGCATGGAGGTAAAGGTTGAAGTGTCTCAATGTAAAGACTGCTTCATTTCTGCTTAGCATTCATAGAGGAGCAGTACCAAAAACTCTTCCCTTTGCATGACTACTACTGTACGGCATAAAAACTATTCTACAGAGCAAAGCATGGCAGGGAGACACAGAGAGAGAGAGGGATGGAAGGCAGCCTACACAATATACACACACAGAGGTACAGACAGTAAAGGTGATGTTGCTATAGACTAAATGAAAAATGGTACAGATATAGTACTGTTAATGATAATAATCGTAATGTTAATGATTATAATAACAATAGGACTAGTAACAATAGTCGTTGCAGCAGAGGGTGTCGAGCAGGAACACGGGGGCCGCAGGTGACCCGCAACCACAGATCCAGACTCCACAGCTCCAGAGCCAGAAAACCTGCAGGAAGTGATAGGAGGAGAGAGGAGAGGGACGAGAAAGCACAAGACTACCAGAAAGAGAAGTCGAGTTAGTAACATGCATTAATGGGATGAGGTTGCATACAGAGAGAAAGTAGAGGAGAGAGGAGCTCAGTGCATCATAGGAAATCCCCCGGCAGTCTAGGCCTATAGCAGCATAACTAAGGGATGGTTCAGGACTCACCTGAGCCAGCCCTAACTATAAGCTTTATCAAAGAGGAAAGTCTTAAGCCTACTCTTAAATGTGAAGATGGTGTCTGCCTCCTGATCCTTCCATCGCTAAACTAGAGCTGGTCCAGTATGTCTCGTATACCCAGAAAGTTAAATATTTTCTGGCTTTCCCTCTCAGCTACAGTGACTAACAAGATGTAAAGCTATCCATCCATCAGGAAAGTCCATCACAGGAAGTTGAGGCAGAGCAGCTGGAGGACATTAGAATATTAAACACTTTCACCAAAATCAGTGAATAAAGTTATGCAGTTTTTGTGCAGTAATGAGTAGGCATAGTCTCACATAGCCAGAACATGGATGTTTAAAGAGAAATCAATTCAGCGTTGGAAGTGGAGCTCCGTTCATTCCTATGAAAGCTGCTCAGTGGCCAAAAAACTTTGACTTCCCAAGTTAAACGGATCACCCACAATATGCGGCCGTCTACCAGTTATGTCCTCTGCTAATTTAAATGTGGATAAAATTATTTAATCATGCGGCTTTTCTAGACTTTTTAAATTTCATTGGAAAGAATTAATAAAAATCGGATAGTGAAAAGAGTCATTTATCACGGGATGTGTGAACTTGAGTTTTTATGGAGGGGAGCCTTAAAGATACAGCAGCTAAACATGAGTATTCAGAAAGAGGGTGAATAGAGGTGCTGAGGCAATGGGCAGTATGAGAAAAACAATGTGATAATGTAAACATTTTCTTTTAGATGCCCAAAATATGAGAATAATATGGGGCCATTAATTGGTTTTGGCAGTGTATGGACTGAAGACACACGCACACACACCTACACTGTAAGTGTTCCAGTGTTAGATTCTGTTTATTTTATCACACAAAATGAACCTACAACCCATCTGCTAGAGACTCTGGTTTCCAAACAAAGAAAATGTAAAATTCAGTGAATACAAGGTGGCAGATACAAACATTACTAGTTATGAATATCTGCAGCTGTTTCGCTTGTGTAAAACAACCAGGGGTGCGTTTCCCATACGACAGAAATGAGCATTGAACTATCTTGGTACGATGCAATGTTAAACTAAAAAATATCTATTTAAAGTACAAACGTTTCCCAAAACTGCCATACCTTGTTGGTAGCACAATGGTTTGAACCATGTTAGTTTGAACCAACATAGCTTGAACTACAGTGTTTTCAGATGTGTTGCGTCTGACTTTCACAGCGGGAAAATTTTGTCATAATATGCCTAAATATGACAGTTGTGACAGCTATGAAGTTAAATTAATATTTAGGCTTTCGATATTGTAGCCGTATACCAGCAATAAGTGTACCATCTAAGTTACCAACGTACGTGCATTTGGGGAAACGCGCCCCAGGATGGTGGTGAATGCCAAAGCTCCACTCAAGAAATACTTAAAGGCAAAAGTCCGCCTCATCTGCAGATGAACATTACATGACAGAGGTTTAACTTTTTATAATCAAATGTGATAAGAAAGTATTCATCGCTTTTGAACAAATGAGGTTATCTTTGCTAGAATTTGTTTGTTACCAGCTAAGTCCAGCTTGATCCCGTTTCCAAAACCTGTGTCCACATGAGGGTGTGTCCACAGTAGTACGTCCCAGCATGAGACTCTTTGTGTGTTGGGTTTTCTCTCACGCCGATCTTTCCTGCTTCCATGTGTGTAAAAGATGAGTTTTGAACCAGTAAACACTGTGTTGTCCATCACAGGGCCCAGAGTGTAATCTATAGTTTAAAGTCAGAGTCTCCTGGTTGGATGGTCCCAGACACTGACTGATGAACCAAAGCCGGGATCTTCAAACCTGAACCCTTTACACTGATAATAGTGCCCACCACAAATTCAAGCATGAATGAATAATTGTTTGCCCAGTAGTAAGTAGTTTAGTCCGAAAGGTGTGCATCAGACATTTTGATGTGATTCTTACCAACTTTAGTCTCCAGTGTGAAGTGTGTATTGTTCTTCATGAAAAATTTAATTTTTATCAAAACTAAAGGTAATAGAGATAAGCCATGGCTTCTCCCCCAGTGTTTGCTTACCAATAATACTTTGCAGCTTCACTGGATGGCTCCCGTCTGCATACTCACAACAAACCAAAGACCTCACTAGCAGCAGTTTTCATTGAGATCCAGATTTTAGTTTATTTTTTCTTCCTTTTGGGGAAAACAGTCAAATCTATCAATTAAATCTATTGTTACATTTAACTAGATATTTTTACATGTCTACTTTATTTGATCATTGCAACACTAGACTACACAACTACTGGTTTTTTTTATTCCTTGTTTGTGTCCTGTCATTACTAGAATTCGATAAAATATTTAATCAGTATTAGACATTGTAGTATCATACAATGTGACCTGACAAATACATTATTGTTTATGTTCAAGCAGTCTTTGGCTTAACAACCATCTATCTAAGGCTGTGTTCAGACCTGAGGTCTGCATGAAAAACACAGACCTCTTATTCATTTGAATGAAGCCAGTCCATTGTAGCCACAGCAAAAACACATTACACCTTGCTTTTTTACTGCAATGCAGCAGCATGTGGCATGGTGCTGCAACGGCCAATCACATACATGCTAGCACACATTCCTGGTAGTTCACCTCACAATAGTTGTAATGAACAATAAAATAGTTGTCATAAAATCCTGTTTTTCTGATAATGATGCCTCCAAATGCAGTCTTACCAGTACCTTAAACACGTCCCCACAAAATGTGCCCCCCCTCAACGTGTTTTCAGCCTGATTGCCTGCTAAGAGTTCACACACCTCTACTGTACATCCTGCTGAAAACCACAAAGGCCACTGTACTGAAATAGATACACAGCAAAATGTCTGCAAGGTCAACAGGTCTCAGTGAAATGACTGCTTCATTTCTGTGTTCTGAGTACAAACAGAGCCAAAAGAAAAGTTATAGTAACATAGTAACACAATGTACCATGCTATTTTAATAAGAGGCTTTGTCATCCTTAGGCTGATACAACAGGCATAGTGATAGTGGAAATATGTCACCTTTGCTAGCAAAATAAAAAATAAAAACATTGGACAGCTGAACTGTCATTGCATGAGCTTCTTGAAGTAGCGTACTGTAACTCAAGGCTTTACATTCATTATGTATGTATATGTTTATAATGTTGACAAAGCTCTTTCTATATTATGAAAATGTACATCACTTCTGAAGATGTTAACAGCTGTGGAAAAAACATCTTGCACAACAAAAAAGTACAAAGAAAACTTGTCAGCACTACTGCCTTACACTGGAGTACACACATTGACTCATGGGGTTGTCGTTCTCTTTTCGTCTGTCTTTTCTTGATCTGTTGGCCCTGTGATGCCTTACAGCAGCATAATGG